TCTCTGTCCACCTTGTCTATTCCCCGCAGTATCTTGTATGTCGTTATCATGTCTCCCCTGGCCCTTCTGTCCTCCAGTGTCGTCAGTCCGATTTCCCTCAACCTTTCCTCGTACGACATTCCCCTGAGCTCTGGGACTAGCCTTGTTGCAAACCTTTGTACTTTCTCTAGCTTCTTGGCGTGCTTGACCAGGTGTGGGTTCCAGACTGGTGCTGCATACTCCAGTATGGGCCTAACATACACAGTGTACAGTGTCTTGAACGATTCCTTATTAAGGTATCGGAACGCTATTCTCATGTTTGCCAGGCGCCCGTATGCTGCAGCGGTTATTTGGTTGATGTGTGCCTCCGGTGATGTGCTCGGTGTTATGGTCACCCCAAGGTCTTTCTCCCTGAGTGAGGTCTGTAGTCTTTGTCCACCTAGCCTATACTCTGTCTGCGGTCTTCTTTGCCCCTCCCCAATCTTCATGACTTTGCATTTGGCAGGGCTGAATTCGAGATGCCAGTTTCTGGACCACATGTCCAGCCTGTCCAGGTCTCTTTGCAGTCCTGCCTCATCCTCATCCGATTTAATTCTTCTCATCAACTTCACATCATTTGCGAATATGGACACTTCAGAGTCTATTCCTTCCATCATGTCGTTCGCATATATCAAAAATAGCACTGGTCCTAGAACTGACCCCTGTGGGACCCCGCTCGTCACAGGCGCCCACTGTGATACCTCTTCACGTACTATGACTCGTTGTTGCCTCCCTGTCAGGTATTCCCTGATCCATTGCAGTGCCCTCCCTGTTATATGCGCCTGATCCTCCAGCTTCTGCACTAATCTCTTGTGGGGAACTGTGTCAAAGGCCTTCCTGCAGTCTAGGAAAACGCAATCAACCCACCCCTCTCTCTCGTGTCTTACTTCTGTTACCTTGTCATAAAACTCCAGAAGGTTTGTGACACAGGATTTGCCTTCCATGAACCCATGCAGGTTTTCATTTATAATCTTGTTCCGTTCCAGGTGTTCCACCACTCTCCTCCTGATAATCTTCTCCATGACTTTGCACACAATACATGTCAGAGACACAGGTCTGTAGTTTAGTGCCTCATTTCTGTTTCCTTTCTTAAATATGGGGACTACATTTGCTGTCTTCCATTTCTCAGGTAGTTGCCCAGTTTCAAGGGATGTGTTGAAGATTGTGGTTAGGGGCACGCACAGCATCTCTGCTCCTTCTCTAAGGACCCATGGGGAGATGTTGTCCGGTCCCATCGCCTTTGAGGTATCAAGGTCACTTAGCAGCTTCTGCACCTCCTCCTCGGTTGTTCGTATGTCTCCAACACTTGTTGGTATATTCCCTCTTGATGTTCCCTTCTGTGCTGTCCTCCCAGAGCCCTTCCTGTCTCTACTGTAAAAACTTCCTTAAATCTCCTGTTTAGCTCCTCACATACCTCCTGATCATTTCTTGTGAGTTCTCCACCTTCTGTCCTCAGTCTGATCACCTGGTCTTTGACTGTTGTCTTCCTCCTGATGTGGCTATACAACAGTTTTGGGTCAGTCTTGATTCTCGATGCTATGTTATTTTCATACTGTCGCTGGGCCTCCCTCCTTACCTGTGCATACTCGTTCCTGGCTCTGCGACTAATCTCCCTATTTTCTGTGTGTGTGCGTGTGTGTGTGTGTGTGTGTGTGTGTGTGTGTGTGTGTGTGTGTGTGTGTGTGTGTGTGTGTGTGTGTGTGTGTGTGTGTGTGTGTGTGTGTGTGTGTGACGAGAGAGAAAATTTAACATCATTACGATGCAACATCCATTAAATCTTCAGTTAGTAAATTACAGGAACTTCGTAGAGCTGTGACGATGGTTGATGATTCTCTCTCTCTCTCTCTCTCTCTCTCTGTCTCCCTCCCTCCCTCCCTCCAGGAACAATGAGACCAATAAGCCACGCACTGGCAGATGAGACTCTCGCTTCCAACACCCCTCTCCCACAGTCAAAGTTTTTCCACTGCTTTCTTTAATTTGTTCCCACTCTTTTATATGCATGATGCCTAACGTTTTTACACAATCCTCCACTTTAACATTATATAATCCAAACCCAGCCTTGGCAATATAACATGAGGTAACATTACATAAAATAAGATAACATGGAATAAGGTTAAAATCCACAACTAACCAAAATCACAATATCGAGGCTGCAACAATTCCAAACTAACCCACAATTCGAAAAGTAGCTTTAGACGACGTTTCGGCTACCCTGGACCATCATCAATTGAACGCGTGTTTCAGAAATCAAATCATTTACTGCAAATGTTCGCCCCCTCAAGGAAGGTTCCTTGATGTTGGTGAGGGGCTCTTGATTTAGGGAATTGGATCTGTGCTCCAGTTCCCCAAATTAAGCCTGAATGTCTTCCACATCCCCCCCAGGCGCTGTATAATCCTCCGGGTTTAGCGCTTCCCCCTTGATTATAATAATAATAATAATGCAAATGTTCGCGTGTTTCAGAGATTGTTCGAGGTAATTGTTTGCGTGTATGAGAGATTAGCCGCCACTATTGTTCGCGTATCACATTAATTGTTATATAAATGGATGAAAAGTGGAAAACAACAGCTGAAGCGTCAGGGAAGAGAGATCAATATAATTACTCTTGCGAGAGAGACACAGAGAGAGACAGACAGACAGAGAGAATCACAAGAGTGATGGTAACACTTTCTCCTCTTGACGTATTGTGTGTCCACTACCAACTTTATCACTCCTGTGCCTCCTCCTCCTTCTCTTCCATCCTCCTTTTTTACTCTGACGTGCAAGAGGTGAGAGAAAGGAAGGAGGGACTTAAGAGAATAGTAAAGGGGGGTAATAAACGGGGAGGCAGCTAAGGGTGACGTGTGTTTACAGGAAGGAAAATAAGGGAGCGAACTGCGTCCCTTCGGTTTTAGGACGGACGATCTACCACTGTGGCCTTCATCAAACTACAATGTTGAAAGAGGAATTCCTTTCAGAGAAAGGGTAATTAAAGCATCAGGTTTGCACTGGTCTTGTGAAATGTTGAAACTGGGTCCTGTTGAACATCATAGCTGACTCGAGGATTTTTGTACAATAAAGACTGCTAAAGAACATAAAGGCACACTACCGTGACCAGAACAATACACGAACAACACGTGTGACCGGAACAATACACGAATAACACGTGTGACCGGAACAACACGAACAATACGTGTGACCGGAACAATACACGAACAACACGTGTGACCGGAACAATACACGAACAATACGTGTGACCGGAACAATACACGAACAACGTGTGACCGGAACAATACACGAACGTGTGACCGGAACAATACACGAACATGTGTGACCGGAACAATACACGAACATATGTGACCGGAACAATACACGAACACGTGTGACCGGAACAATACACGAACATGTGTGACCGGAACAATACACGAACACGTGTGACCGGAACAATACACGAACATGTGTGACCGGAACAATACACGAACACGTGTGACCGGAACAATACACGAACACGTGTGACCGGAACAATACACGAACATGTGTGACCGGAACAATACACGAACACACACACAGAACGACGTTTCGCTCCCACTTGGACCATTTACAAGTCACACTGTGACTTGTAAATAGTCGTTATAAGCTTTGCTCTCCTGTGAGGTTTGTGTAACTGTTACACATATAACGAGAGTAGTGTCGTGTTATTATTATGGTTAATATTAACACACTGGAACACTGCTGACTTCTCTGGTGTATATCTAAACAGATTTCTTGCATTCAATTATTCTAGCAATTATATTAGTAGTTTATGAAGGTTCCTTCTGTGTCTGTTCTGTAAGAGTAGTTTTTAATGTACAGTATTAGGTGGGTTCCACCATGGAAATATTTTTTTGTCATTTTAATAACCACAAGATCTTTGGAAATTTCTATGCGTACTGCTGACGCTTACAAATGGCTCTTGCATTATGGGGAGCGCTAAACCCGTAGGATTATACAACGCATGTAGGGGGAGGGATGGAAGGTATTCAGGTTCAATTCAGGGAACCGGAGCACAGATCCAATTCTCTAGATCAAGAGCCCCTCACCAGCGTCAAGGAACCTCCCTTGAGGGGAATGGCTCTTACAACAAATTTCCAGTTACTGCTGCTGACCTGAGATTGTACAAAACGTCGAGTTAACTCACTTAGTAGAAGGAGCTTGGTGTTCCCTGACCCTCTGGACACTACATAAGACGGACTTCACTCCTGAGTGTCTGGTTACACTCTCCCACATAGCGATCTACTTTTCCCCAATGTCGGCTGACTATGTCGCTAGGAATTGTAGATTTCGCCTCACTGCGGGTGTGCCTGATAGGGACGAATATCCTGTATTTTGGAAAAACCTCTCAAGGTTATCTTGTTCCCCAGTCACGTGTATTAACGCTGGTTTAGCTGGCTGTACACTCGTGACGTCCATCCCGCGTCGTGACTGAGTAGCAACTGATCTCCCTGGCGTTCTTAACTGAATTTATTAGAATTTTGAACTCTCAACTCTCTAATTCTCATATATTAAATCTAATTTATAATTATTTTAGGTCCTAAAACTGTATTAATAATTCCTATGTTTATTACTTTGTGTATCTACGTAGCTCTTCCTAGAAGGGTAAATATTAGTAATGTGTGCAAGTGTTATATAAGTGGGTATGCTAAGGGCTCTTTAAGATTATACGTTATAAGCATTTCGTGGAATATTTTGGTAATCCAAATAATTTCCACAAGATCGCAGGTTCGTGGCATCATAATTCCAGTCATATGAACCAGATGTTTTCCTCCTCCAGCTTTTATTCTTAAACTCATGAGTGCCTTTACTGAGTAGTGTCCGTGTCACTTTACAGGGACGCCCTACTGACGTCCTCCATAACTCCTGACTACCCTTACTGAGTCGTGTCCCTGTCACTTTGCAGGGACGCCCTGCTGACGTCCTCCATAATCCCTGACTACTCTTACTGAGTCGTGTCCCTGTCACTTTGCAGGGACGCCCTACTGACCTCCTCCATCAACTGCCTGACGAGCTTCCTGGCAGGGTTTGTCATCTTCTCCGTCCTGGGTTACATGGCTCACGTACAGAACAAGGACATCTCTGAAGTCGGCGAAGAAGGTGAGGCGAAGGAAGCTCTTGCATCATACAGAAATAATAAGCAATCAGTTCACAAAATTATTTTTTTTTGTCTACCGTAAATGAATGGATTAGAGGATCACAGCATTAAAAAGTATACTAAGGAAAGCGCTGCAATTTGACGCAGTAGTATATCACACCTTGAGAAGTATATGACACCTGACAACGAGTCAGTGTATGATATTTAAGACCTGGATCGGTGTTCTCTGAATCTGTCCTTTCATGTCCTCATGTCCTGCGCTGGTTTTGCTTGTGTTTCTTCCTACCTTCAGGTCCAGGACTGGTGTTCCCTAAGAGTGTTTCTCCCTACCTTCAGGTCCAGGACTGGTGTTCCCTAAGAATGTTTCTCCCTACCTTCAGGTCCAGGACTGATGTTCCCTAAGAATGTTTCTTTCTACCTTCAGGTCCAGGACTGGTGTTCCCTAAGAGTGTTTCTCCCTACCTTCAGGTCCAGGACTGGTGTTCCCTAAGAGTGTTTCTCCCTACCTTCAGGTCCAGGACTGGTGTTCACCGTGTACCCTGAGGCTATAGCAACCATGACGGGGTCGGTGTTCTGGTCCATTATTTTCTTCCTCATGCTTATCACCCTTGGTAAGTAACTGATAAAAACTTACATTACTACCATATTACGTATATATATATATATATATATATATATATATATATATATATATATATTATATATATATATATAATATATATATATATATATATATAAATTCAATGAACACAGTAGTCTTGAAGGAGAGCAGAGGAGTAGCCCTTCTAGAGAGGGGTAACTGACTGGCTGGCTCTTTGGATAGCTTGAGGCCTTTGTGTTATTGTGCACACAAGTGAGACAGCATGGCGGTGCACTCCATGGGGACCCCCAGGCATCCACAGCAATCTGTCCCTCTCTCTCTCGGCTGCAGTCCAACATTGTCCCTAGACCCAGGAGGGTACAGGAGACATCAGATGTGCGGATTGTAGGTCACGCTGAACCAGAGAGCTGAAATTTAAAAATTTTCTGGTCATGGGGTGCTATATATTTGCTGGTAATGTCTATTTCCGTGTTGGATGTTGAATAGCCTTGATAGCGGCGAGATAAGATGAGATGGGGTCTTGGTTTTTACGTCAGGACAAGGGTTTTGTGACACAGTTCTTATTTTTCCCCTTGATGACCAAGTCGAAGGTCATAATCCACTGTGTCTGACACCACATTTAAAATCCCAGACTTGTCACATAGTAATATCCTAAATTACTACCATTTTGATAAGACAGACTATGTACATGAATGGTGTACAATACCAACAAGATGAAGAATTAGACACATGTGCAACATCTGGGTATCTTTATTGTAGACGTTTCGCCATCCAGTGACTTTATGAATGCAAATCAGTCTCTCGGCTGAGAGACTGATATACGTCATCTTTGTACATAGTTCAACTGTCTTCCAATTATAGCCACTGGTTGACAAAATGTCTGTTCAGTAAAGATACCCAGATGTTCCACATGTGTCTCTAATTCTTCAAGACAGAACATGTCTTATTCGGGAATTCCACAAATTATTTTTTCCAGACAATATTATGAATATGTACACTGGTTGTGAAGCCACGTACAAGTTACAGATAATAACTCTCGCAGGGATATGCCAAGAGAGTCATACTGGGACTCTTTACAGCGTATGTTTATAACATCTGTCACCAAGCCAATGATAATTGCTGACATGTTATCTCTTAGAGCAAACACAGGTGTCATCCATCACGTCACTGACGACGGTAGTGTTTACATGATTACTGAGACAAACATTTCCAAGTTCACGCTATGTACATCCTTAGTTTACATAAAACTGGTTTGTCTTGCCTAAGTTCTGTGCCTTAGGTACTTCAGTCTGCATTTTGTATCATAAAAAATATACGTTTTTTTAGGTACGTTCGTCAGGAAACAAGATGTTTCCTGACGAACGTACAGGTGGAGCTTTTGGTCATCTGACCGAGGCCTTCCACTGGCTTACCCGTCCACTCCTTTAAAATTTATGGTTATGATTATAACTAGGATATTTCTTTTATATTATACTAGGTATTATAAGTGTCATAAATACTGATTATTAAATAAATAGCATATCTTTATGGTAGTCTCATCTCTGCTACATTTATATTAAGGGTAAACAATTTTAAAGTGTTAGAACTTTCTGATTAAGAAGTTGCACTCCCTCCTACACCTCATCCTGCACTCCCTTCTTCACCGCATCCTACGCTCCCTCCTCTACCGCATCTTCACCGCATCCTGCACCCCATCTGCGCTCCCTCAACGCATCCCGCACTCCCTCCTTCAACGCATCCTGTTTCCCCTCCTTCAACGCATCCTGTTTCCCCTCCTTCAACGCATCCCGCACTCCCTCCTTCAACACATCCTGCACTCCTTCCTTCAACGCATCCTGTATCCCCTCCTTCAACGCATCCTGCACCTCCTCTTGCTACTACAGGTCTGGACAGCACCTTCGGGGGTCTGGAGGCTATGATCACGGGTCTATGTGACGAGTACCCTCGTCTACTGGGCCGTCACAGGGAGATCTTCGTCCTGTGTCTTCTTATCTTTATTTATGTCTGCGCCCTCCCCACCACCACCTACGTGAGTCTCCTGAAGGCGATCACCTTGATCTTAACCCTCTTGTATGTCCCCTAGGAAGCCATCCACAGCAGTTGTCTAGCATCAATCTGTTTACAGTTAGGTAAACAGGAGTAACAGGAGGTGTTTAGAGATTTGCCCAATACGACTCACTCCGCCTGGGAATCGAACCCGGGTAGCTTCATTTGTAAGACGAGCTCTCATTTCGGTTGTGACTTGATAATGGTTCAGGAGAGACCTAAATGTTGTCTAGAATTTCTTTATTTTAATATTTTATAAACATGCACTCTTTCCTGTAACAATGGGCTGAAGAAAATTAGATTTTACGTTCAGAGATATACCAATGCTGAGGACAACCTTCATGGAGGTTACCGTGATGTTGCTGAAGGGTTCTTGATCCAAGGAACTGTAGCTATCTTTCCTTAATTCAATCAGGGTTACCTCACATTCCACACACGGTATTTAACCCTTATGGGGGTACCGCTACCCTATAAAATTAATAACAATAAAACAATAATTTGGTAATATAACTTTAATATATAATAATAATAATATTAATAAGACACAATTTGCAGGCCTATTATCCCCATAAGCCTACCTATCACTGTCACTATCACACACACACAGGGCGGCATGTACATCGTTGATCTCCTCAACATCTTTGGCACTGGGAACCCCATCTTGTTCATCGTCTTTATTGAAGCCATGGCTGTCTGTTGGTTCTACGGGGCTGAGCGTTTCGCTGACGACATCCAGAAGATGATTGGGTCTCGCCCTGGCCTCTTCTGGATCCTCTGCTGGAAGTACATCTCTCCTACCTTCATATTTGTGAGTGTTCAACATTAACTGCTATGTCTTCTTACTAAGTATTAACTGCGTTTAACATAATCTTTTCATGATCCCTCCAGTACATGATCCCTCCAGTACATGATCCCTCCAGTACATGATCCCTGCAGTACATGATCCCTGCAGTACATGATCCCTGCAGTACATGATCCCTGCAGTACATGATCCCTGCAGTACATGATCCCTGCAGTACATGATCCCTGCAGTACATGATCCCTCCAGTACATGATCCCTCCAGTACATGATCCCTGCAGTACATGATCCCTCCAGTACATGATCCCTCCAGTACATGATCCCTCCAGTACATGATCCCTCCAGTACATGATCCCTGCAGTACATGATCCCTGCAGTACATGATCCCTCCAGTACATGATCCCTCCAGTACATGATCCCTGCAGTACATGATCCCTCCAGTACATGATCCCTGCAGTACATGATCCCTCCAGTACATGATCCCTCCAGTACATGATCCCTCCAGTACATGATCCCTCCAGTACATGATCCCTGCAGTACATGATCCCTGCAGTACATGATCCCTGCAGTACATGATCCCTGCAGTACATGATCCCTGCAGTACATGATCCCTCCAGTACATGATCCCTCCAGTACATGATCCCTGCAGTACATGATCCCTCCAGTACATGATCCCTGCAGTACATGATCCCTCCAGTACATGATCCCTGCAGTACATGATCCCTCCAGTACATGATCCCTCCAGTACATGATCCCTGCAGTACATGATCCCTCCAGTACATGATCCCTGCAGTACATGATCCCTCCAGTACATGATCCCTCCAGTACATGATCCCTCCAGTACATGATCCCTGCAGTAAGTGATCCCTGCAGTAAGTGATCCCTGCAGTAAGTGATCCCTGCAGTAAGTGATCCCTGCAGTAAGTGATCCCTGCAGTAAGTGATCCCTGCAGTAAGTGATCCCTGCAGTAAGTGATCCCTGCAGTAAGTGATCCCTGCAGTAAGTGATCCCTGCAGTAAGTGATCCCTGCAGTAAGTGATCCCTGCAGTAAGTGATCCCTGCAGTAAGTGATCCCTGCAGTAAGTGATCCCTGCAGTAAGTGATCCCTGCAGTAAGTGATCCCTGCAGTAAGTGATCCCTGCAGTAAGTGATCCCTGCAGTAAGTGATCCCTGCAGTAAGTGATCCCTGCAGTAAGTGATCCCTGCAGTAAGTGATCCCTGCAGTAAGTGATCCCTGCAGTAAGTGGACAGAGATGTAGCTAATGTGACATTTTATTGTGGCAACGTTTCGCTCTCCAGGAGCTGTCAAGCTGTATCGGCTTAACAAAGCTCCTGGATAGCGAAACGTTGCCACAATAAAATTTCACATTAGTTACATCTGTGTCCATTTACCTAACATTTTCTTGGTAATTCTACCAACACTGGACACACATTTGACGCTGACAGTAACACAACACCATGAACGACCTCTAAACTATTTTAGACAGTTCTTACAGGGTAAACGCTGTTATCCTACCTCGGCTCGTTTATAGTGTAAGAGATGTTATCCTACCTCAGATTATTTTTTTTATTCGCCGGTATTCTCCCGGCCCGGGTCTTTTCCAATAGTGGTGACCCGGCCTTGGCTCTCTATCTGGGGAGTATGTCGAGACCTAAGTCTCCCATGGGAGGAGGTACAAGTACCCCCTCATCTTTGGGACCAAGTGTCCCCAGGCCTAGCCACAGTCCCCGCCCTCACGGGGCTCGTAGGGAGAAGCTAGGCCTCTGGTCTGCCATCTGCCCCGCCCCAAAGGGGCTCGTGGGGATGGCAGTCTTGTGAGCTGCAGGTGGTAGCAAGCTCTGGCTTCTGCTATACTACCTCAGATTATTCCAAAGTCAGCCCTATATGTGATATAACCACAAGAAGGGTGAACCTAGGTGAAAATGGGCAGTTAGTGTAAGGAAACGCGTTCATATGTTTTCCCCCACCTGGGAATCGAACCCGGGCTACTTTGGCTGTGACCCAAGGTCTACCACTAAGAAGCCTATTTCTTCTTGCACTAACAGGTGCTGTTCGTGTGCTCGTTCGCACTGGGAGACGGCTCTGTAGCGTTGAATCTCCCACCCTGGGCGGTGGTCCTGGCTTGGGTCCTCACTTGCTCCTCTATAGTATGTATTCCTCTCTACATAATCTACATGTTCTTCACCACTCCAGGGACATTCAGAGAGGTGAGTGTATTGACCTTGTGACTGAAGAAATAAAAACTATGCCTCAAGTCTATATTTTGTTATTAATATAGTCTACTATAATGCTCCTCACATACCCTTATACGTATATTGTTAACATTTAATATCAAAGCGCCGTAACTACATTAGTTTACCTTCATACCATTAAATTTATTTACTGCTGGTAATTATTACTTTATAAAACAATCAAAACTTTCACAAACATTCAAAATAATGTTCCATAAATAAATATTTAATCGCCGTTTTACTGAATCTGTAAAAAAAAATTTTCAGTTCTGTAAAACCTGTATATATCTGTATTGACTCTATGTGACTGGTCTTTGTCGTCCCCACAGCGCATCAAGGCTATGATCAAACCGGAAGAATACATCTCCCCGCACCTCAGCCAGATCAATACTCCCTATGGAACACATGTTTAAGACCACAAACAAAAAACAATACTACTAACCTCACGTTCTAGTTTGCAACAACCACTATCACTAACGTAACGTTCTCCTTTGCAACAACCACTACCACGAAACTTGCGTTCTAATTTGCAACAACCACTTCAACCTTTACTACCTATATTCCTATACCCATTCAGGTACTGCTTTAATGTCCCATCATTATGCAGCTACCACTGTTAATCCCAGCGGATACAACAACCTAACAAAACCCAACTCTAACATCATCTGTCGCACATCCAGATGTCTTTAAATATTTGAACGCGATGTACAAGAATGTTGCTGTGCTGGACAGTACAGTACATAGTAATCACAAAATGTACAGCAGGAAATACTGGGAGTTTCTAAGGGGGAGGTATTTCCTGAACCTATGGTGATATGTTAATGCAAGCCAACACAAGCATCCTTATTTCTCCTCTCCAATCCCTTCTCTTCCTTCTGCGTCTGTCCTCTCCCTCTTTTAGGATAAATGGAGTAAGTTCACTCCCATATATATATATTATATATTATATATATATATATATATATATATATATATATATATATATATATATATATATATATATATATTGCCCCTATGTATGTACACAACAGCAAAACTGACATAACAGTAATTCGAAAGTTCAATTTCGTATTTACACAAGACTTACATTCTTACATGTTGTGTTCTTACCATCTTCACACACCCATTGTGCTCTGTGTTCTCACCTCTTGTATATATAGGTCACCAGTTGAGTGAATGTATGTCTGTCTATATTAACGCCACTGTGTGAAGTACGACACTGTAGTTACTTTGAATATCTAACCAATTGTTCCACTGCTGTATGTAAATTGACTATAGTTATATTAATAATATATATATATATATATATATATATATATATATATATATATATATATATATATATATATATATATATATAATATATATATTAGCATTAATTTTGTTGCCTTTTGAGTTGTATATAGTAAGCCTCGTTGAGTAATTTCTTCAAGCATAGACTAGCAGTGCTCAGTATAGTGTAATACAGTGGGTGTGTTCTCTCCTTTTATTAAGAAACTGTTAATTTTTAAAGTGGAGGAAGGGTAAGCCAGTGGAAGGCCTCGGTCAGATGACCAGAAGCTCCAGTGGCGAGTCATATGACTAAAACCCGTCAGGAAACACTAGTCCTGTTTCCTGACCAATCTTACCTAGCGTAGATTTCCTTATTTATACGTATATATGTATTATATATATATATATATATATATATATATATATATATATATATATATATTATATATATATATATATATATGATAGCCAACATCGAAGACCAAAAACTGTTTTCTTTTCTTACTAGTTAACTTTTGAGTGCAAATTAACAACATTATCTGTAGTTGTGACAGTTTTAGGCAAACTGCTTCACCTGTCATATCAAGTCAAGTTGATGATGGTAGTGTATGTGACTGTTAACTGTTGTGTCTTATCTGTTAAACGTGGGGAAAAAAATATTTTATCACAGCAAATACAAATGGATATTTTGAATATCAAGTTTTAACATTTTTGTACAGTTACTAGATAATAAGGATTTAGTGATATGTTCTCTATATATTGGTGACGTGTTTGTTATTAACGTCGTTTGTGAATGCTGTTGCCTGATTCAGCCCTATGTAGGATCTTAGCTAAACCCTATTTAGGAAAGAGATTAAACCCTATTTAGGAGAGAGATTAAACCCTATTTAGGAGAGAGATTAAACCCTATTTAGGAGAGAGATTGAACCCTATTTAGGAAAGAGATTAAACCCTATTTAGGAGATTAAACCCTATTTAGGAGAGAGATTAAACCCTATTTAGGAAAGAGATGAAGCCCTATTTAGGAGAGAGATTAAACCCTATTTAAGAGAGAGATTAACCCCTACTAAGGAATTGTAAGGATGAACAAAGAGCTGAGTAACAACTCTTAGTTGCTAGTCTCTACGTATCTATTGTGAGGGATCCTTGTGATGTCAGTGGACGGATCTATCGTCACTGGACAGATTTAATATGACATGATGGATGAAGCGTCAGTGGACGTAGCTAGTTATATGGTCAAGAATAGTAAGAGGTGGTGGTTGTGGAAAGAAGGCAGTGCTGGCCGCTGTCTCCTGCTGTTACCACAGCTCTCACTACTCTCCTTGACTTAGATCACACTTGTCGTCTTCCGTAAATATGTAATATATATGTAAATATGTATTTCACTGTATAGAGATGTGTTGGTCAAGAGTGTAGCCAGACACTATGTTAACACTAGGGACTCCAATGGTAACAAGTCACTTTGTCTGGCTTTTTTGGGGGTTATCCTAGATAATTAACACATGTTAAACTATGTATGATAATTGTACTTACGTATAACTGTACCTAAATAATATACTTACTAAGGGCCTTGAGGTACTGTTTTAACGTCAGCCAGGTTAAACAGGATCAGACGCTAGGCAAGCCTTGCTCTACTCAGCCTTCCTTTGCTCGTCCTCTCTTAATATTCAGCTTGTACAGTATTCACATCATTTACAAGTCAAGAGCTTCGCTTGTAACGTTGAAAAAATGTTAATTGTCAAATCTTATCAGATCAAGTAAAGATTACTGAAGGGGAGGAGCTGCCGCGTCAGTGTACTAATGTTAGTGTTAATAACGTACAGCGCTCAATGACCCAGCCGGGTTTAGCTAGTGCTTTCTGTGAATACGATATATATGATGTAGATTCAATAGAGCGTTTCCATACGCGTGTGACGTCACTACGAACGTTCGTAGCGTTCGTAGTGACGTCCCGTTAATGGGGTACTCATCTAGTAGGACATTTTGTATTTCTCTTATTTTTTTTAAATATCTTTTTTCAACGATGATGGTTGAAAACTGATTTAAGCAATGTTAATATATATTCCAGGTAAAGGATCATTATTTTCTGCCCTATATGAAACACTTAATGAAATAACAAGTCAAAATGCATAGCCAGGTTTCCCGGTTTCATAATTTTATACATATGGTTATAGAGTAGCTATGGTAGAGGCAGTTATATATATGTGTATGTATGTGTGTGTGTGTGTGTTTCTCTGTTTTATGTCTATTGTCTCTGAACACTTGTTAACCCCGTGTCACAGCCAGACACGAGGCTCATCTGTTAACCCTGTGTATCACAGAGACATGATCTCAGCAGTTGTTTTACAAAGTAATTTACAATTCTTGTCCTAGTTTCCATGTAGGTTGTCAGCGAGAAGTGTTTTAGATATTAATTTTTACCTCTGTCGTAGGACACTTTGCTATACAGTCCTGGTGTGTCAATGGTAACTCCAGCAGTGAACAGGTTAAGAGGTCCACTTCATATGACAGAAACACCACTGTTGAGGATACCTAAGCTGTTGGTGATCTGCAATAACACCATTGACAGTGTGGTACTGGTGTCATGGTGGCCCAGTATGTATGTGTGTGTTTATAAGTACTTCCCAAGAGATTCTTGCTACTGGAGCAAATACTATCACCTTGTACACCTTGTACTTTGTCTTACTAGTAGTGGATGCCGCCACCAGTTACTAGATGTCACATGTTAAATCAAATACATAATATGACAGTTTATAATTAGTTTGATATACCTAACAACGTGTTAAAACTATACAGCCCTCCAAGCACTTTCGTTTGACTGGATATTAAAAAGAATGAAAGGTCTGAGGCCTGGTCACAGACCGGGCCGCGGGGGCGTTGAACCCTTGAATCCTCTCCAGGTATCTCCAGGTAAACTGAGTAATAGGACACAAAATCCTGGAATGTATTATGAAATTTAGACGCTGTGACATCTTAGTTCACCTCTCCATAACTTCACATTTCACAGCCTTGATCAGTTAATATAGTGGAAATAATAAGTAATCACTAATTTTATTACAACAACAATGTACATATAACAAACACTGGGATTGTTATGAATGATAATCTTCAGTGATATCTCAAATCAAAAGAAAAAACTTCTGTACTGATCTAATGTGTTTTTTAATGGATGAAACACGATCGTTTCAACTTAAGAGTCACCACACCATTCAGATGTCACTCTAAGAATTATAACGTTCTCAACATTTAAGAATCACTTGACATTAAGTGGTAGTATTTTACTGAATTTACTCATTTAAAAATATTTCATGTATAAATTAGTCGAAAAAGAGGATAAAGGATTTCCCATAGACATACAAAAATTGAGAATAACGCTTGCCTTAATCGGCAAGAGGAGCGTTCTTACCTATTCGGCACGACATATACATATACATATATATATATATATATATATATATATATATATATATATATATATATATATATATATATATATATATATATATATATATATATCTTTCTTTCAACACACCGGCCGTATCCCACCGAGGCAGGGTGCCCAAAAGGAAAAACGAAAGTTTCTCCTTTTACATTTAGTAATATATACAGGAGAAAGGGTTACTAGCCCCTTGCTCCTATACACACATACACACACACATATAATATATATATATATATATATATATATATATATATATATATATATATATATATATATATATTTTCAACAAGTCGGCCGTCTCCCACCGAGGCAGGGTGACCCAAAAAAGAAAGAAAATCCCCAAAAAGAAAATACTTTCATCATCATTCAACACTTTCACCACACTCGCACATTATCACTGTTTTTGCAGAGGTGCTCAGAATACAACAGTTTAGAAGCATATACGTATAAAGATACACAACATATCCCTCCAAACTGCCAATATCCCAAACCCCTCCTTTAAAGTGCAGGCATTGTACTTCCCATTTCCAGGACTCAAGTCCGACTATATGAAAATAACCGGTTTCCCTGAATCCCTTCACTAAATATTACCCTGCTCACACTCCAACAGATCGTCAGGTCCCAAGTACCATTCGTCTCCATTCACTCCTATCTAACACGCTCACGCACGCTTGCTGGAAGTCCAAGCCCCTTACCCACAAAACCTCCTTTACCCCCTCTCTCCAACCCTTTCGAGGACGACCCCTACCCCGCCTTCCTTCCCCTATAGATTTATATGCTTTCCATGTCATTCTACTGTGATCCATTCTCTCTAAATGACCAAACCACCTCAACAACCCCTCTTCTGCCCTGTGACTAATACTTTTATTAACTCCACACCTTCTCCTAATTTCCACACTCCGAATTTTCTGCATAATATTTACACCACACATTGCCCTTAAACAGGACATCTCCACTGCCTCCAACCGTCTCCTCGCTGCTGCATTTACCACCCAAGCTTCACACCCATATAAGAGTGTTGGTACTACTATACTTTCATACATTCCCTTCTTTGCCTCCATAGATAACGTTTTTTGACTCCGCATATACCTCAACGCACCACTCACCTTTTTTCCCTCATCAATTCTATGATTAACCTCATCCTTCATAAATCCATCCGCCGACACGTCAACTCCCAAGTATCTGAAAACATTCACTTCTTCCATACTCCTCCTCCCCAATTTGATATCCAATTTTTCTTTATCTAAATCATTTGACACCCTCATCACCTTACTCTTTTCTATGTTCACTTTCAACTTTCTACCTTTACACACATTCCCAAACTCATCTACTAACCTTTGCAATTTTTCTTTAGAATCTCCCATAAGCACAGTATCATCAGCAAAAAGTAACTGTGTCAATTCCCATTTTGAATTTGATTCCCATAATTTAATCCCACCCCTCTCCCAAACACCCTAGCATTTACTTCCTTTACAACCCCATCTATAAATATATTAAACAACCATGGTGACATTACACATCCCTGTCTAAGACCTACTTTTACCGGGAAGTAGTCTCCCTCTCTTCTACACACCCTAACCTGAGCCTCACTATCCTCATAAAAACTCTTTACAGCATTTAATAACTTACCACCTATTCCATATACTTGCAACATCTGCCACATTGCTCCTCTATCCACTCTATCATATGCCTTTTCTAAATCCATAAATGCAATAAAAACTTCCCTATCTTTATCTAAATACTGTTCACATATATGCTTCAATGTAAACACCTGATCTACACATCCCCTACCCACTCTAAAACCTCCTTGCTCATCCGCAATCCTACATTCTGTCTTACCTCTAATTCTTTCAATTATAACCCTACCGTACACTTTTCCTGGTATACTCAGTAAGCTTATTCCTCTATAATTTTTACAGTCTCTTTTGTCCCCTTTCCCTTTATATAAAGGGACTATACATGCTCTCTGCCAATCCCTAGGTACCTTCCCCTCTTTCATACATTTATTAAACAAAAGTACCAACCACTCCAACACTATATCCCCCCTGCTTTTAACATTTCTGTCATGATCCCATCAGTTCCAGCTGCTTTACCCCCTTTCATTTTACGTAATGCCTCACGTACCTCCCCCACACTTACATTCTGCTCTTCTTCACTCCTAAAAGATGGTATACCTCCCTGACCAGTGCATGAAATTACTGCATCTGTTTCTTCCTTAACATTTAAAAGTTCCTCAAAATATTCTCGCCATCTACCCAATACCTCCATCTCCCCATCTACTAACTCCCCTACTCTGTTTTTAACTGACAAATCCATATTTTCCCTAGGCTTTCTTAACTTGTTTAACTCACTCCAAAATTTTTTCTTATTTTCATTAAAATTTCTTGAGAGTGCCTCTCCCACTCTATCATCTGCTCTCCTTTTGCACTCTCTCACCACTCTCTTTACCTTTCTTTTACTCTCCATATACTCTGCTCTTCTTATAACACTTCTGCTTTGTAAAAACCTCTCATAAGCTACCTTTTTCTCTTTTATCACACCCTTTACTTCATCATTCCACCATATCACTCCTCTTTCCTCCTGCCCCCACCCTCCTATAACCACAAACTTCTGCCCCACATTCTAATACTGCATTTTTAAAACTATTCCAACCCTCTTCAACCCCCCCACTACTCATCTTTGCACTAGCCCACCTTTCTGCCAATAGTCGCTCATATCTCACCCGAACTTCCTCCTCCCTTAGTTTATACACTTTCACCTCCCTCTTACTTGTTGTTGCCACCTTCCTCTTTTCCATCTACCTCTTACTCTAACTGTAGCTACAACTAAATAATGATCCGATATATCAGTTGCCCCTCTATAAACATGTACATCCTGGAGCCTACCCATCAACCTTTTATCCACCAATACATAATCTAATAAACTACTTTCATTACGTGCTACATCATACCTTGTATATTTATTTATCCTCTTTTTCATAAAATATGTATTACTTATTACCAAATTTCTTTCTACACATAGCTCAATTAAAGGCTCCCCATTTACATTTACCCCTGGCACCCCAAATTTACCTACTACTCCTTCCATAACATTTTTACCCACTTTAGCATTGAAATCCCCAACCACCATTACTCTCACACTTGATTCAAAACTCCCCACGCATTCACTCAACATTTCCCAAAATCTCTCTCTCTCCTCTACACTTCTCTCTTCTCCAGGTGCATACACGCTTATTATAACCCACTTTTCACATCCAATCTTTATTTTACTCCACATAATCCTTGAATTAATACATTTATAGTCCCTCTTTTCCTGCCATAGCTTATCCTTCAACATTATTGCTACTCCTTCTTTAGCTCTAACTCTATTTGAAACCCCTGACCTAATCCCATTTATTCCTCTCCACTGAAACTCTCCCACCCCCTTCAGCTTTGTTTCACTTAAACCAGGACATCCAGCTTCTTCTCATTCATAACATCCACAATCATCTCTTTCTTATCATCTGCACAACATCCACGCACATTCAGACTTCCCACTTTGACAATTTTCTTCTTCTTATTCTTTTTAGTAATCTTTACAGGAAAAGGGGTTACTAGCCCATTGTTCCCGGCATTTTAGTTGACTTTTACAACACGCATGGCTTACGGAGGAAAGATTCTTATTCCACTTCCCCATGGATATAAAAGGAAAATTAATAAGACCAAGAACTATTAAGATAAAATCAAGAAAACTCAGATGAGTGTGTATAAATAAACGTGTACATGTATGTGTAGTGTGACCTAAGTGTAAGTAGAAGTAGCAAGACATGCCTGTAATCTTGCATATTTATGAGACAGACAAAAGACATCAGCAATCCTACCATCATGTAAAACAATTACAGGCTTCGTTTTACACTCACTTGGCAGGACGGTAGTACCTCCCTGGGTGGTTGCTGTCTACCAACCTACTACCTACATATATATATATATATATATATATATATATATATATATATATATATATATATATATATATATATATATATATATTTCAAAGCACCGTAGGTCAGCAAAGGCATTCCCGGGAGAGCACCGGAAGATTTCTGGATTCAACACCATTGCAATATTAACATGATGGTGGGTGAGGCGCAGGTCAACTAGTGATGGACCAGTTCCCAGGGTCCCTCCCTCAGTAAAGCTACTGCACACTTCCTGCAAGGTTGCAGCCACACTCCTCCAGCTATTGCAAGTACGTTTTGCATTTGTTATACTGTGTCTCTGTTCATTAATTCTTCAATAGCGTATACAGATGTATTAACTTGAAAGGAAATGCGTAAGATTAAGATTAGATTAAGTTGTTCACGAGGGATATTCACCTAATATTATTGTTAGTACAGTTGTTGTATTCCTGGGAAGCGTTAAACTCATAGGGGTTATACAGCCCCAAGGGGATAATCAGCTTTCATCCGAGGATTAGGAGAGTAAATCCAATTCTTCGGATCAAGAGCCCATCACCAGCATCCAGGCTTCACCCTTGAAGGGGCCGAAAGGTGTACATACCTCAGAGTATATGCACTGATTATCTGTTTGTGTGTTAGTGAAGGGAGGAATTACGGCTTTAATGGCCCACGTATGGTCGTTAGAAAGTAAATCTAAGAAATTAACCAGGCTATCCATTTATCTGAACTAGCAGAAGTAACTGCATTCAGTAAGACTGGCTAGATATCCATAATTTCAATAATTATGTCAATATACCAGCTGTTGAGAGTACCAAAATAGGCAATGCATCAGAAATCCATTCATAATTAACTGGTACCTGTGATCTCTAGAGCCAAGTGCCATTGTTCTTAGTAATCTTATTTTTTATATAACTTTGCTATGGCAAGCGTTTTTATTTTCCAGATAATAAAATGCTAAATAAAAACATTATTATGTTACAAAAATGCATAATAACTATTATACTGAGATTACATCTACGTCCCCCTTATAAAATTTAATATTATGCGAAGCTTATTGAATTGATTCAAGAAAATCGGTCGATGTCTAATTCTCTGTACTGGTGGCCAGCTAATTGGTATGCAAGAAAGCTAATGCATTGCTGCACATCTAAAGTTTAAGGTATGAGACATAATTATAACACGTACGTACGACCCTGGAATTTGCAACAGCCAGGGCACCGTTGAATAATAACGGGATTCCACGTTAAGAGGCATTTGTCAATGTTTTAAGGAGAGTTGTTCTTTTAGACAAGCATTTACTGTCGGAAGAACAAGTCAGATTGTATAGAATCATTACAGGATGTATTATCTTGTAGTAAGTGTTTATTAAGCAACCAGATTTGTCTAAACGTTCACTTTATCTAGGTCCCTGACAGGGAACCCAGCAGGAGGAGTATATCGATTACCAGAATAATATAATACTACGATTTCTTGGAGAGGTATGCGATCGATACTCCACAATGTATGACCATACTATACCGTGAAGGCCCATCATGAGTGTTCACTGATTTCAGATGTCCTCCAAGATTATCAACTAGGAATACTATAGTAAACCTATGGGCTTAGGATTTGCTGCCTGGATAAAACTTAGACACAGATAGGCTATCTATAAAGCGAAGCAAAATTAAACTGCCTTTGTAACGTTTACAGGAAATTGTAGCGAGGAAAGTGAATATTAATGTCAGTAGATAAAAAGACACATGAAACACGGTAAAACTTTGCCAATTTATCACATATAATTTTGTTACCATAGTGAGAAAGTTTTATTAAGCTACCATTGGGCAAAAGATTCATTACAATAAAATCTTTAGCTGTTTCTTGCAATAATAAGTGCAACTGAATTACAAATAAAAAATTTAATCAGTAATGTTTATATTGTATAATTATTTTTTATGAAGGTATAAATATTTCTTTCTTTTTTTTTTTTTGCAATTCAGGTTTGCGAGGAGTCAAACCAGGGGGATCCTCACCTAGTGAGACATGGTGAGTGATTATTATTTTTTTGGCGTAGGTTATTGCCACATGTTCTTAGTCTATCAACTATTGGGATTAAATTATTTTATGTATGGCAGTAAATAGAAATATGATAAATAGTGCTGCTCAATAAACTAGTCCCTCTGTTCCAAATCAACAATTTTAGTTACGTATTTGATGCCGAAGCTAACATTTAATGTTACATACTGGTCACATGTAGCTAATTGACTCACTCCTGGTCCTCAGGTGCTGCAGGAGGGATGATGACTTTTTACAATGTGGTGGTGGTGGCGACTGTGATGGCAATAGTGGGGGTGACTGTACTGGTGATGGGGGCGCAAGTAAGAGTTCAGGTAAAAGGAAAGGGCGTCCCCACACGGAAGCAACCCTCCCATACTAATGCGCGACTCCTGCTGCGTGCCTGGAGCCGTGTCTTGAAGAACCGTCAGGCTGTTACGGATCCGTTGCCCTTAGCGCTGGCTGACGTAGTGAAGGACTTAGGAGGTGGCGAAGGTGGTCCTTGTCACGTCCTACTCTACTACGACAGCACGACGGTACCTCCGGAGGATTTAGCTGTCTTTCGCTCCTCCCTCAGCGTCCCCATCACCTTGATAGATGTGAGTAAACTCACCTTCACTCTCATCACTAAAGTCCGACGTCGAGTGCCTCTCCTTGAGCTCCTCTCGTTCCAGGCAGACAATAGGTGCCGGCTGCTGGTGGCCTGGTCCTCGAGCAATTACCAGCGCGGCCTCATGCTGATGGCTCAGGCAGAACCTGTCGTATTGGGGCTTAGAGGCACACTTGTTTTGCCCGTCACTGACAACAGCCTCGACCGCTTCATCCCACAGCTGCGACGTCGCATTCTTGTGAAGCGACAAACGTTCCGCAAGAAACAAGGGACGAGTGAAGCAAGGTTTCTCGTCGAGGGAACTTGCGAAATATGCCAGCGGTACTACTCGACTCGTCTGGGGGATTGGCGGTACCCTGATGGGTGGAAGTGGGGAAGAGCCACGCCCTATGGACACGTGTTGCCTGGTGCGAACCTGACTGTGGTTTACACGCCTTCTGTTCCTAATATCTTCCCCATGAAGGGAGATGGTGCTCTACTGTTAGAGGGCATCGAGATGCGGCTGTTAGAGTATATAGCAAAAGCTCTTAGATTCAGCTATCGTTTAGTTGTGCCCAGTGATGGTGAATGGGGAAGACCTGTGAACGGGACATGGACTGGGAAGGTGGGGGAAGTAGTAACAGGACGGGCGGATATAGCAATGGGAGGTCTAGTGTACACTGATGAACGAGCAGCTGTTGTTGAATATTCCCTCTTGTTTCTTAACGAGGTGTGGGGCATCGTGTGTCCTCTCCCTGTACGTCTGCCAGTTTGGCCTTATATCATGTTCCCCTTCAGAACTGAATCGGCGCCTTCAGTGTTCGCCTTGTTTGTGGTTTTTAACGTGATGGCCTACTTAGTGGGAACAGTAGTGGCAATACAAGCACCTCAAGGTCCCAGGGACCCGTGGGCAGAATCTGTAGTCAGAGTTATACACGTTGGAGTGTCTCTGTACCTCCGACTCATGGCCTGCCTGTACTTCTGGAATATATATTACTGTCTCATAAAACCTAAGTATGAACCCCCGGTGGATTCCTCGACGGAGCTACTTCAGTCAGGGTACGACTGGGGCGTCGTATCTGGCACCACAGTACCCAGAATCCTCACTTCTTCACAACACAGTGTTCACTGGGATCTCAATCTCAGAGCTAAGCCACTCCCAACAATCACCGAAGGATTCCAGCGCCTTCGCAAAGAAAACTTATGCCTGGTGGGGGTGCCAAAGAGGTTCGCCCTCGCCACTATCGCCATGCGACATTCTACTAAGTGCGGGGAGCCTGGTTTGCAGGTCAGCTCAGAGGACCTCAACTCTGTCCTTAGTGGATGGGTGCTGCCTCGGGGCTCACCCCTTACCTCCTACATTAATGACATCATCTTACGGCTTCAGAGCTTCGGTCTGTTGGAACACTGGAAGAAGAAGATGCACGAACTTCTAATCACCCGCGCCCCGAGAGACCTGCCATGTCTCAACCCTCCTCCTTCATCTCTCACTATACTGGATCTACGCCTCACGCTCTTTATACTGCTGGGTGGGTGGTGTCTGGCCCTCCTGGTGTTCGTAGGTGAACACTTAGTCAGTGTTTTCATCAAGTGTGATATCATGACGGTGACGGAGCGGAGCACGGAAATGATGTTAGGAAGTCAAACAGCACGTAACAACGAGAGACGTGATGGTCTAAGTGATTGGCTCAGTGTGCTTCTGTCTCCAGTACCTTCAATTAATATCAGTGTTAAAGAAGCAGTTTTTCGAAGACAACTGGATGCCATTCTTAGGGATAACTGGGGTCTTGATATAAGATGAGAGAGGCTCCCAGAGGCGCGGGCTGCATGGACGTCGCCTCTGGGAGTTTCAAGAGGCAGTGGCACTCTGCCTCTTTTCCCTCCTCTTCCACTACCGCCACCTCCACCATCACCGCCACTATCACCACCTCCATCACCACCTCCTTCACCATCACCTCATTCACTATTGCCACCTCCACCACCCCCACCTCCTTCACCACCACCTCTTTCACTACCACCACCTCCACCACCACCACCACCTTCACCACCACAAGATACTGTGTTACTACTACCACACCGGCACTCGCCTGATCCTGGTGAAGTGCCTGTTGACCTGCTGCATATAGACACTCGTGACCCAAGGGAATATAACGAGGCGCTGGGGTCTGTGTTCTCGCTGGGTTTCAAAGGACCATCTCGCCCTGGAAACTTTTCCACCGCCGCCAGACTTCACCACAGGTCATCACTCCGTCATCCACTTCCCCAGACTTCCATTGGCCTCTCAAGGAACTCCTCACTCCCACCAGTGTCTGAAGAGAGCAGCGCCGTGGTCATGTGTCACCCTCACACACTTCCCTCACCGGTCAGACACTCCCCTGTCATGAGGCAGCGTCGGCGCCCATACTTACATCCAGCAGCCAGGAAATATATGAGTGACGACGCTACGGACAACGACGCTGAAAGTTTCGGGTGATGGAAAGACTGCTCACAATGCTAGCTATTTCTCTGACGATAAAATACAACCAGGAATGACTGGTCATGGTTTACAGCATCCCAAAAACTGAATCAGACTTAGCAAAAACGCATACATCCGGGGAGGAAGGGCTTACTCGTCCTCAGGAAAATCAGCAAAATCTAACATTTCTGCTACTTTAAGCCCCACTTCAAACTACTTGCAGTCCTGTAACCAGCCACCAGATACACGTATCAGTGTATGCTAGAGTGTGTCTCGCTGGAGGTCCCCGCACTTACAGACAAGTTAAACAAAGAGAGTGCTCTCGGGAACCCAGTGAAATTTACAACAGCTCGGCTGAAGTACCAGCAAGTGTGAAAAATATTTCTCCTTCATGTTAGGAAAGCAACCAGTTTGTAAGTTCAAAGACCATGTTGTAAGCCAATCCAGTTCGTACATAATCACGTAACTGAGGTCCATGTACTATGTACGAGACTCGATCTTGGGTTGTTAGTTTTTGCTGCTTGGTCTGGTTTCCCTGGAGGACTAGACCTTTCATACACATGCAACTCATGTTTACTGTGGTCCCATAGAGTATGTTTACTCTTAGTAAACATTCTCTAAGTAATCTTTACACAGTTTCTGTGAACACTATACTTGTATAGTGTTTATTTTTTACAAACATCCTCCCTCAGCTCATTCAAAGCCCAGCTCTGTGTAGGGTATACTGCCACCCACACCAGTCAACTAACATCCAGGTACCTACTTACTGTTAGGTGAACAGGGACAGCAGGTGTAAGGAAACTTATCCAACGTCTCCGCCCGTGCTGGGGATTGAACCACGTACACTCAGTATGTGAGCTGATTGCGCTACCACGGGTTCAGATCCGCTCATGATTTGGCGAGTTATTTCTTATTTGTGACACTCTTTCATAATAATAATAATTATTATTATTCATTACAATTATTATTAATATATGGCAAGGTCATACAGCACTTGGGGAAATGAGAGAGAAACAGATTTGATCTAAGGAAGGGGATGGGAGGGGTAGGTAGCAGGAGTTCCATGAATCAAAAATACTTCACCAACATCAAGGCAACCCCCCCCCCTTCCATCGAAATATATATATAGGCACCACACAATCATTCAGCTTTAAAAAGCATCCTAGCACTTGACAATTAAAAATCTCGCCCCCATAACTCAACTAGTCTTATTTTATATATATTACGTATATATATATTATATATATATATATATATATATATATATATATATATATATATATATATATATATATATATATATATTATATGTGTGTGTGTGTAAGGTTACACGTCTTGAGTGTCGAGTCAGAGAGTCTGTGGATCACAACGTGAGACAGCACAGGTGATCTTTCTAATACTGGAGTATTTATAGCACCTGCAAAGGTCAGCTCCGATTATAATGGAATTCCAACGGTGTTATTCAGAATGCTCTACAGTCAACTTCAACTGTCTACCAAGTTGAGATGAGAAATAGTGATAATCATAAGACCTAAGGTAATGAATGGATACATCCAGGCACAGAGATGCACTAAATTAAAGAATATCCACCTATCTCTGCGATAGTGTAATTGTACTCGTCTATTTATACCAAAATTGCTCTGCTATCATAGTTATAATCATAAAATTTCAGAAGAGAGGATCAATTCGCAGCTCCTGGTTCCTCTACTTCCGACCGGTTAAACTATCCCTGGCGTGAGTCTTACCAGGAGATTATTCCGGGGGTCAACACCCCCGCGGCCCGGTCGTCGACTAGGCCTCCCGGTGGATCAGGGTCTGATCAACCAGGCTGTTACTGCTGGCTGCACGTAGTCCAACGTACGAGCCACAGCCCGGCTGATCGGGCTCCAACTTAGGGTATCTATCCAGTGCCCTCATGAATACAGCCAGGGGCGTATTGGTAATCCCCCTTATTTCTAATGGGCGGCTGTTGAATAGTCTTGGGCCCCTGACACTTACTGTTTTTTATTCTTTTAGTGTACTCACAGCACCCCTGCTTTCCATACGTACTTATTAAACGTACTAAGATCATTTCACTTCCTATACTCAGTCCTACTGATGAATTACTGACTGCAAACCCACTCAGTACAACATTTATGTTCATCTAAAAAAATATATGTAAATTATCTCAGTATCTTTTTTCCATTATGTTAAGTTTCGGATATTAAGTGGGATGTGATGTTTTTTGGAAATCAATCCTAACCTAACGTATGCCAATGTTCTCCCAGAAGTCCAAAATACAAATGTCTAGATTGCCCAATCCACTTAATGGTGAAGAATTTTCTTAATCAGCTGTCGCTAAGCTCAGAAACTAATAATAATAATAATAGTATTATTATTATTATTACTTATATCATTATTATTATTATTTACAGCTAAGTTAAGTATTCAGTCACCGTGGCCCGGTGGCCTGGTGGTTAAAGCTCCCGCTTCACACACGGAGGGCCCGGGTTCGATTCCCGGCGGGTGGAAACATTCGACACGTTTCCTTACACCTGTTGTCCTGTTCACCTAGCAGCAAATAGGTACCTGGGTGTTAGTCGACTGGTGTGGGTCGCATCCTGGGGGACAAGATTAAGGACCCCAATGGAAATAAGTTAGACAGTCCTCGATGACGCACTGACTTTCTTGGGTTATCCTGGGTGGCTAACCCTCTGGGGTTAAAAATCCGAACAAAATCTTATCTTAACTCCCAACCATCAAATCACCACTTGTGACAACAATTATTGAGTCCCCTGCAAGGCTGAAGTTCATTTATGTACCAAAGTACGCAGAACAATCCCCATGGGGATGAAAGCTTTAGCTCTAGATCTTTCACACTCTCATGCGTCGTCAGGAGCTATGTTGCTACAACATTACATAGCTCCTGGTGACGCACGAGAGTGAGTGATTTAAAGCTGAAGATTTTCATCCCCATGTGACTTGTTCTATATTCTTAACATTGCCTGTTTGTGACTGTATTGCAGTGTCAAAGTATGTGTACAGGGTTCACATGTTAATATCGTTAACGTGTGGCGTAAAATACACTTTAAAAAGCAAAACCCGAAGGGGTTAAACCACAGATTCTCCTTAACTGTACCCACAACTATTATTCTGTTCTACTCTATAGTACTTTCCATTCCTCAATATTCACATGACCCAGATTTAAGGTTGGGAAACAGAACAAGTGTTTCCTGACGCGGGTCATAGTCATGTGATGACCCACAGCTGGAGCTTTTGGTCATCTGACCGAGACTTTCCACTGGCTTACCAGTCCACCACTTTAAAGATTTTTTTTTTTTTTTTTTTTTTTTTTCAACAAGTCGGCCGTCTCCCACCGAGGCAGGGTGACCCAAAAAAGAAAGAAAATCCCCAAAAAGAAAATACTTTCATCATCATTCAACACTTTCACCACACTCGCACATTATCACTGTTTTTGCAGAGGTGCTCAGAATACAACAGTCTAGAAGCATAAACATATAAAGATACACAACATATCCCTCCAAACTGCCAATATCCCAAACCCCTCCTTTAAAGTGCAGGCATTGTACTTCCCATTTCCAGGACTCAAGTCCGACTATATGAAAATAACCGGTTTCCCTGAATCCCTTCACTAAATATTACCCTGCTCACACTCCAACAGATCGTCAGGTCCCAAGTACCATTCGTCTCCATTCACTCCTATCTAACACGCTCACGCACGCTTGCTGGAAGTCCAACCATTTATTAATTTATCAGATAATTTTTTTTAAATAGTCTAATTGATGTAGTCAATAAAACCACATTTGTTTAATATATAATGTAATTATTATTAAAGATTCGCCGGTATTCTCCCGGCCCGGGCCTTTTCCAAGTGGTGGCCCGGCCTTGGCTCCCTCTTTAGGGAGTGTCTGAGACATAAGTCTCCCATGGGAGGAGGCACAAGTACCTCCTCATCTTTGGGACCAACTGTCCCCAGGCCTAGCCACAAGCTAGGCCTCTCTGGTCTGCCATCCCCGCCACAAGGAGGCTAATGGGAATGACAGTCTTATGAGCTAAAGGCTCGGGCTCAGGCACCTACCCTACCCTAGAAGGGTTAGGCATGGTGTCGATGTAGTGTAATTTATTGTATATTTTTTTCAAACGCTAAATTTTAGCCAGTTTCTCCTACTTGCTTATTTTATGCTTGTTGTTTATTAATATCGTGTTCAGAAGTCTAAATTATATTTTTTAGCCTTTCTAAAAGTACCATAAAAATTTTCTTAAATGCTAAATTCAGAGGTGATGTATACATGTTTATCACTAACATAAACTTTTCGTGGAATTTATGTAAAATAAGACGTACATTCAGTCATAAATACTACTATGATTGTAATAAAGTTATGTGCACACAGCGGTGTATGTCTCAGTGGCAGACCTACATTTTTGGAGCCCTGAACCTTTATCTGTTTGGGGGGCCCCTTCGCAACCCCTTCCCATACTGTAGACCCAAAATTTTTAAGCAATGAGAACTAAGTCGCTTCTTGAGCCCCTCCGGGATTAGGGGCCCTGAAGCTTGAGTTCCATAGTATATCCTCCCTTAGTCTCAGTATATTCACTAAGAATATATTTTAGTTCCTCTGTACTAGGGACTTATAATGACCTGTTTACTCGATAGGCTTTTAACCCAATTAACCAACCGAGACTGTATGCATTTTGATGTGTGTGCAGTCAAAGCAACAGTGCATACACACGTACAGGGTTAGTTGGTTAATTGGGATTAAAGCTTATTGACTACACGAGAGTCATTAAGGCTGCATGTAGCTTGTGCACCATCAGTCAAAAATACTTTAATCTTTAAAATAGTGATTCAAGTATTCTCAGTGTGTATAGATTGAAAGATACACACTCCTGGGTGTATATATCCTTGATGTTCAGGGGTGTATATCTCAGTATACCGTATAAACATTAAGTTTAATCCCCGAAAGAACATACATTTGGGACTGAAGTTTGGTCAGGGAGTCTCCTCAATGACCGTGAGAAATAAATTACCTGTATGACACTCATTTCTGCATTCATACAAATAATTTGATTAAAAGGCAACTGAGTAGGACTACTTACATTTTGTTGCACCTCCGAGGTATGTGTAAATATTTTGGAAATTCCAGGTCTCTCGAGATTCTCCCCTCCGACACCCACAACTTTCTATACACATCTACCGGGACCTTAAATAATTTATATTACATTTAAGAAACACAACCAGTAATTCTGGTACTTATATTTATTGATGTGGAGTGTATGATTTGATGTAGACTTGCAGGAGGGGGGGGAGGTACACTATCACTAACAATATTACAACAAATCATTGAAACTTCCAAATTTTCTGTGAGGTTGCTTGACTCTCACTGCATCACCCACAACCTACCTAAATACAGACACTAAACTGGCCAGTTAGTTATCTATATGGAAAGACAGTTATACTTAGCTGTGGATATGAAGACAGCATCCTTTATCTATCCCCCTTCACCATCCAGGATTTCAATATGGCGGACTCCTTATTTCACCATATATCCACTTTGTTTTAGTGGTTTCTTCACCGTGTAGTGCATCACCGTATTATTTGCTGCTCATCTGAGGCCGTTTCACCATAATTTGTCCTCGATTAAACGTGATTTAATTTAATAATCCCCCTCCCCCCCCACACACCAAATTTCGAAGGGTAAAATCAGTATCATTTTTCTACTCATTTGCATTATAAAAATTTCTACAATATAAATTTGGGAAAATTACATCAAAATTTTACACAATGACCTTCATGTGGTAGTCTTTCACTTAATTTAACCAGCAAACCAATTTTAAATAATTCCAAAATCAAAAACTGGAAAAAAAGGAGAAAAAATAGGTAAAAGAAAGTAGAAATCTATAGGGCCGCATTTTTTTTTTCGTTTTATTGAATGATTACATAGGTTTGAGTAATAAAGACACATGTGAGTGATATACTTGTGTTGTACTCCCGACAGACACCATTATTTCTCCACATCAGTGACAGATGATCCAAAATATGAACATCCATCAGTGGAAAAAAAAATTAGGTATAATTATGAATAAGGTAATTTTAATGTCAGGTCCAAGACTGTTCAAACACGTTTATTTAGACTGTTGCAAAACTTAAAAATAGTTTATAATGCCCGAATATTTGGCAGTTCATGTTGTATCCTGCTTGAGTTTGATATGATGAGAGGAGTAACAATAATAATAGGGGTATAACTATTGCACATCAAAGATGAACAGTATAGTTCATGATTGTTACAGGATTCTCAGAGAAAAGTCTGGCTGGAAGCACGGAGTCTGCTTCCAGATTACTGTACGGAGGATCGAGCCTCCACCACCGCCTGACCTACACGGGTTTGTCACTTCACCGACATTTCACAAATAATCCAGACTTGGCAGAGAAACCTTCAAAGAACGTTTCTGTCCAGTAGAGAGCGAAACGTTGTCTAAAAAATCCTCTGCCAAGTCTGAGTTACTTGTGAATTATTTCTGCATATAATTTTCTCGCCTGTACTGTAACCCCTGAATGACCCACACGGATTAGGAGCACTTTTTTGTGTGTATAATAATATCGTCGCTATTATATTTATTAATTAAACGAATTTAAATTTTGCTAAGCATCAGAAGCCTAGCAGATCAATCACGAAAAACTATTCTGCTTTTTTCTCTATTATTTTACCCGTTTATTCTCCTCCACTGTAGCTCCTCCATCAATAACAGCTCAAACATAATTCAACTGGAGAAGATTCATGTCAATCCACGACTTGTAGTTGGTGATACGAGTGAAGACAGTGGGTAGACCTACGTTGATACAGAGAGGGAAGCCAAAACTGACCACACCAACTTGTGTACATTGCACCCCAGAACACACCACCAGTGGCCCGCCGGAGTCACCCTGTGGGAGGATAGGATAGGTTAGGTTAGATTTGTAGGGAAATAGGATAAGTGTTTCCTGAGTCTTAGTCATATAATGGCCCGCAGCTGGGGCTTTGGGTCATCTGGCCGAGACCTTCCGCCACTCTGTGGGAGGAGGACACTGAGTTAAGATATGATTTTTAACCTGGTGGATTATCTACACATGATAACCCAAGAAAGTCAGTGTCATCGAGGACTGACTGTCTTATTTCCATTGTGGTCTGAGCTTCAGTCTTGTTCACCAGATGAATCTCCCGCAAGTGGGAGTTTCATCTGTAAAAACTTGCATATGATCACAGCGGAACCCATGTTAGCCTCCCTATAGTGAATAAATATACCTAGGTCGATAAATCTTATTGTAGCCAACTGGCCCAGTGCAAACGCGCTGGCCTGCAGTTTTACAACCCGCCGCGATGTCAAGCCCCCAACAATACCGTGTTTTTTTCAACATGGAATCCGGTGTGATTCAAGAAAGGGGATGCCAGGTGCAATTCCTAGAATCTATGTTCCTCCCTTCCCCCTTCAAGTGAATAAGTATAATAGTTCATTCAAAGTGTCTTCGCATCCTAAGCACAGGTACACATAAGTACAATTATCTTACATAGTGTGAATTACCTAGGGTAAGTTGGTAGACAGCAACCACCCAGGGAGGTACTACCGTCCTGCCAAGTGAGTGTAAAACGAAAGCCTGTAATTGTTTTACATGATGGTAGGATTGCTGATGTCTTTTGCCTGTCTCATAAATATGCAAGATTACAGGTATATCTTGCTACTTCTACTTACACTTAGGTCACACTACACATACATGTACACGTTTATTTATACATACTCATCTGAGTTTTCTTTGATTTTATCTTAATAGTTCTTGGTCTTATTACTTTTCCTTTTATATCCATGGGGAAGTGGAATAAGAATCTTTCCTCCGTAAGCCATGCGTGTTGTAAAAGTCAACTAAAATGCCGGGAACAATGGACTAGTAACCCCTTTTCCTGTAAAGATTACTAAAAAGAATAAGAAGAAAATTGTCAAAGTGGGAAGTCTGAATGTGCGTGGATGTTGTGCAAATGATAAGAAAGAGATGATTGTGGATGTTATGAATGAGAAGAAGCTGGATGTCCTGGCTTTAAGTGAAACAAAGCTGAAGGGGGTGGGAGTTTCAATGGAGAGGAATAAATGGGATTAGGTCAGGGGTTTCAAATAGAGTTAGAGCTAAAGAAGGAGTAGCAATAATGTTGAAGGATAAGCTATGGCAGGAAAAGAGGGACAATAAATGTATTAATTCAAGGATTATGTGGAGTAAAATAAAGATTGGATGTGAAAAGTGGGTTATAATAAGCGTGTATGCACCTGGAGAAGAGAGAAGTGTAGAGGAGAGAGAGAGATTTTGGGAAATGTTGAGTGAATGCGTGGGGAGTTTTGAATCAAGTGTGAGAGTAATGGTGGTTGGGGATTTCAATGCTAAAGTGGGTAAAAATGTTATGGAGGGAGTAGTAGGTAAATTTGGGGTGCCAGGGGTAAATGTAAATGGGGAGCCTTTAATTGAGCTATGTGTAGAAAGAGATTTGGTAATAAGTAATACATATTTTATGAAAAAGAGGATAAATAAATATACAAGGTATGATGTAGCACGTAATGAAAGTAGTTTATTAGATTATGTATTGGTGGATAAAAGGTTGATGGGTAGGCTCCAGGATGTACATGTTTATAGAGGGGCAACTGATATATCGGATCATTATTTAGTTGTAGCTACAGTTAGAATAAGAGGTAGATGGGAAAAGATGAAGGTGGCAACAACAAGTAAGAGGGAGGTGAGTGTATAAACTAAGGGAGGAGGAAGTTCGGGGGAGATATAAGCGACTATTGACAGAAAGGTGGGCTAGTGCAAAGATGAGTAGTGGGGGGGGTTGAAGAGGGTTGGAATAGTTTTAAAAATGCAGTATTAGAATGTGGGGCAGAAGTTTGTGGTTATAGGAGGGTGGGGGCAGGAGGAAAGAGGAGTGATTGGTGGAATGATGAAGTAAAGGGTGTGATAAAAGAGAAAAAGGTAGCTTATGAGAGGTTTTTACAAAGCAGAAGTGTTATAAGAAGAGCAGAGTATATGGAGAGTAAAAGAAAGGTAAAGAGAGTGGTGAGAGAGTGCAAAAGGAGAGCAGATGATAGAGTGGGAGAGGCACTGTCAAGAAATTTTAATGAAAATAAGAAAAAATTTTGGAGTGAGCTAAACAAGTTAAGAAAGCCTAGGGAAAGTATGGATTTGTCAGTTAAAAACAGAGTAGGGAGGTTAGTAGATGGAGGTATTAGGTAGATGGCGAGAATATTTTGAGGAACTTTTAAATGTTAAGGAAGAAAGAGAGGCAGTAATTTCATGCACTGGTCAGGGAGGTATACCATCTTTTAGGAGTGAAGAAGAGCAGAATGTAAGTGTGGGGGAGGTACGTGAGGCATTACGTAAAATGAAAGGGGGTAAAGCAGCTGGAACTGATGGGATCATGACAGAAATGTTAAAAGCAGGGGGGGATATAGTGTTGGAGTGGTTGGTACTTTTGTTTAATAAATGTATGAAAGAGGGGAAGGTACCTAGGGATTGGCGGAGAGCATGTATAGTCCCTTTATATAAAGGGAAAGGGGACAAAAGACACTGTAAAAATTATAGAGGAATAAGTTTACTGAGTATACCAGGAAAAGTGTACGGTAGGGTTATAACTGAAAGAATTAGAGGTAAGACAGAATGTAGGATTGCGGATGAGCAAGGTTTCAGAGTGGGTAGGGGATGTGTAGATCAAGTGTTTACATTGAAGCATATATGTGAACAGTATTTAGATAAAGGTAGGGAAGTTTTTATTGCATTTATGGATTTAGAAAAGGCATATGATAGAGTGGATAGAGGAGCAATGTGGCAGATGTTGCAAGTATATGGAATAGGTGGTAAGTTATTAAATGCTGTAAAGAGTTTTTATGAGGATAGTGAGGCTTAGGTTAGGGTGTGTAGAAGAGAGGAGACTACTTCCCGGTAAAAGTAGGTCTTAGACAGGGATGTGTAATGTCACCATGGTTGTTTAATATATTTATAGATGGGGTTGTAAAGGAAGTAAATGCTAGGGTGTTCGGGAGAGGGGTGGGATTAAATTTTGGGGAATCAAATTCAAAATGGGAATTGACACAGTTACTTTTTGCTGATGATACTGTGCTTATGGGAGATTCTAAAGAAAAACTGCAAAGGTTAGTGGATGAGTTTGGGAATGTGTGTAAAGGTAGAAAGTTGAAAGTGAACATAGAAAAGAGTAAGGTGATGAGGGTATCAAATGATTTAGATAAAGAAAAATTGGATATCAAATTGGGGAGGAGGAGTATGGAAGAAGTGAATGTTTTCAGATACTTGGGAGTTGACGTGTTGGCGGATGGATTTATGAAGGATGAGGTTAATCATAGAATTGATGAGGGAAAAAAGGTGAGTGGTGCATTGAGGTATATGTGGAGTCAAAAAACGTTATCTATGGAGGCAAAGAAGGGAATGTATGAAAGTATAGTAGTACCAACACTCTTATATGGGTGTGAAGCTTGGGTGGTAAATGCAGCAGCGAGGAGACGGTTGGAGGCAATGGAGATGTCCTGTTTAAGGGCAATGTGTGGTGTAAATATTATGCAGAAAATTCGGTGTGTGGAAATTAGGAAAAGGTGTGGAGTTAATAAAAGTATTAGTCAGAGGGCAGAAGAGGGGTTGTTGAGGTGGTTTGGTCATTTAGAGAGAATGGATCAAAGTAGAATGACATGGAAAGCATATAAATCTATAGGGGAAGGAAGGCAGGGTAGGGGTCGTCCTCGAAAGGGTTGGAGAGAGGGGGTAAAGGAGGTTTTGTGGGCGAGGGGCTTGGACTTCCAGCAAGCGTACGTGAGCGTGTTAGATAGGAGTGAATGGAGACGAATGGTACTTGGGACCTGACGATCTGTTGGAGTGTGAGCAGGGTAATATTTAGTGAAGGGATTCAGGGAAACCGGTTATTTTCATATAGTCGGACTTGAGTCCTGGAAATGGGAAGTACAATGCCTGCACTTTAAAGGAGGGGTTTGGGATATTGGCAGTTTGGAGGGATATGTTGTGTATCTTTATACGTATATGCTTCTAAACTGTTGTATTCTGAGCACCTCTGCAAAAACAGTGATAATGTGTGAGTGTGGTGAAAGTGTTGAATGATGATGAAAGTATTTTCTTTTTGGGGATTTTCTTTCTTTTTAGGTCACCCTGCCTCGGTGGGAGACGGCCAACTTGTTGGGAAAAAAAAACTCCGAAAAAAAAGTAAAAATAGTACCAGAGAAGGGTGGAGGAGAGAAGACTGCGATATCCCAAAGCTTAAGATTAATTAACAGGGATAAAACGTCTGAATTAGGACCAGAACCAAGGGAACACCGGTGTAAGCTGAAGACACAGATGAACCATTTGAATGTAAGAAAGTTTTTATGTAGTCTTAGGGTGGTTGAGCTGGATGAAACAGTGGTGAAGGCAAACTAAATGTACAGCTTCAAAAGAGGATATGATAAGTCAAAAGGACTAACCAAAAAATCCGTCTTCAGAGAAGATATAAATTAGAATCAAGAAAAACACATTTATAAGTTGCTCCACCGGCCCTTGGTGGCAGGTCCATGTCAGAATTAACTCAGCATAACTATGTAGCTTCACTAATAGGTACAAACCCTGCAATTAATCAGCTGTTAATTTTATTACCTCCGCATGGTACTGATGGGTACTCACGTGACATGGAGTCCCCATAGTGATGTCAAGACACACATGTTTGTCATAAAGAGCTTTGACGCCTGGGAACTTGTTCCAGGCCGCCACACATTTAGTAGTATTCATCAGAGGTCCTGTAAACTTCTTCAAGACGCTGCTGGTTTTCTTCACCTTGCTGGAGTACCGTCCCCACCCACTAACTGTAGCGTTCGCTAGATCGTACCGCTCATCTGTGGATATGTACGGTTTTATTACTATTAACCAGAGAGCTGAGGGCCCTCTCGGGGACCGGAGAGAATTCCACCCGTGAATAACGAAAAGGCACAACACCGTGACTGGAATACACAAAAAACCCGCCCGTAGGAGAGAGGAGCTTCGACGACGTGTCAGTCCGGCTTGGACCATTGACAGAGTCACACTTTGTAAATGGTCTAAGTCGGACCGAAACGTCGTCGTAAGAGGAGGCTCCTCTCTCCTATGTGTGGGTTATTTGTGTATTGTTCCACCCGTGGCATGGTAATTTAATTTTCAGAACAAAAGGGGACATACTGGAAATTATTAATGACTGATGAGCCTTCACACAAATAACCCGCAGTCAGTACCTGAGAAGTCAGTAACTGAGAAACCTGGTTGTGGCTGGTACGTCGGTTTGTGTGCTGCCAGCAGTATCAGCACGTTTGATCAGGCCCTGAACCACCAAGAGGCCACGGAGGCGTTGACTCCAGAAACATCTTCCATGTATACTAGAAAGAAGCTTATGACGATGTTTCGGTCCGACTTGGAGTACTGACTAGTCTAACACCCGAAGATGAGAGATTACCCTTAACTTGCACCAAGGGAGAGAAGGTTACATACCTAGGTCGCTGGGTAACTTGACGGCACTGATGCTGTAGGAGAAGTCTATAGGTTCGTCCAGCTCCATGAGGGCTATGTCATTGACGGTGGTGTGTGGGTTGTAGTGAAGGTGCCAGTGGACCGTCTTGACCTGTCCCGTCAGGCAAACACAGTCACCCAATCAGGCCACCCAGCCGGGCATTCAGAACGCACAGCCAGTTAATCATGTAACCCAGGAAGATAATCAGGTCTCCCAGGAGAGTATTCAGGTCGTTCAGCCAGAAACACAGTCGTTCAGAAAAATAAAGACACTTGATAATCGAGGACGGTCAATACGAAGACTCAAACAATAACATCTATCACTCACACACAACTCGTAAGATACTTGTAAAAGAAATCTCGTAACAGATTAAAAGATTCAACGCAAGTGGGGCTCATGTTGCAATAAATTTTGTATGTATAATATATTTACTTTTCCTAGTCATGCTTTTAATTACTCAAAATGATGCTAACTAAAACTACATAAATCATTTTGAAATTAAGAATGACTTCCATTTAAAGTGATTTTTTACTGAAAATAGAGCCTAATGGTTTCATCCTTGGCAAGACCGGGTGAGGATAGGCTAGGCAGGATCTAAGCTGTAGATAGGTTGGGTAGGGTTTAAGCTGTGGATAGTATGGGTAGCGTCTAAACTGTGGATAGGGTCTAAGCTGTGGATAGGTTGGGTAGGGTCTAAGCTGTGGATAGGTTGGATAGGGTCTAAACTGCGGTTATCTCTGAAAACGACAACAAACCAGATTTAGGAGACTTCACTGACCTTAGCGACGATATTCTTGGTCTCGTTGCGGGTAGCCAGGTCGTGGTCCCCCAGACTCACCCTCAACAGGTCTATTCCCCTTGAGAAGCTCCTGTAGGAGATTTATAGTCAATTTAATCAGAAAGTTGTTAGGTTACATCTGCTTCGGGATTAACGGATGGAGGATCGAGCCTCTACAAGCAACTCCAAAACTCTGACCAACTGAGTTTACCTGACTGTCATGTATTGCCTCACAACCTAGGACGGGATACTATAATGATGGTGTGCCTGGGCCCGAAAATATTCAAACAATAGTACGAATAAATTGAAATACATTTTCCAGTGTCTTTTGTAACACAGGAGATGTATCCTCCTCCTGTGTCCCAGAGAGATGACACACTGAGGAACCTAGTGCTTGTTCTCAGTAAATAAGATGCTTGGGAACCAATCACGGTAACCTAAAAAATATATGTATATACATGCAAAACAACCATTGTGAAAAACAGTGAACTTCCAAGCGTTTTCGTGATTTCTCGTATGATCAAGGACCCGTGTCCTTGATAATGTGAGAAATCACGAAATTGCTTGGAAGTTCACTATTTTTTCACAGTGGTTGTTTTGCATACTGTGAAATCACCTGTTTAATGTGATCTTATTGCATGCATTAACATTTATATGTGCTGAAGGGTATCCCACATAGAGAGAAAAACTGCAGTGGAAATAAGACTGTATCTATCGACTCCAAACCCGAGTTTCTCATCAGGCTATGAGACTGCTGAGGACTCCAGTTGAGGTCAAAATAAACAGACCAGCAATATTTTCCCCTATTTAAATATTATTATTAATAATGATACAGCAGCGCTGTATAACCCTTGTGGCTTAGCGCTTCTTTTTGATAATAATAATAATAATAATAATAATAATAATAATAATAATAATAATAATAATAATAATAATAATATTAATGATAGAGAGGCTAGAGCTGACTTACCCGAACACACAGTGTCCAGCAGTGAGGATGTGTCTGTCACTGATGAGTGAGCCTCCACAGAAAAATTTGTTTCTGTACACCAGCGCCACCTGTGCCAGGGAGAACACCTGTCTTAGAAACACCTGATGAATGAACACATGTCTTAAAAACACCTGCTGAATGACACTAACACCTGCCGCATGATCCTAACGTCTATTCAGTCACTCTTACGGGCTTAGTACACACAATTCCCAAACAACAAAGAATATAATCCGAAAAATTACTGACATAATCTAATCCCATGTTGGTTACTACATAGAACAGTTGTATAATAAAGTTGTACAAAACAGGTGTATACAATACAGATGTAAAAATACATGAAAGTCGACAGTATCAGGCCAGGGTGTCATGGAAGACAATCAGAGAATTAGGAATTATCTCCAAAATATCTTAATCAAGAGCCCTTAACTGGCATCAAGAAAGCTCTTAATCTCCAATTAAGAGGACTTATTTCCGTAAAAATTACCCATTAGAATCAAAATTGTCAATTACATGTTAAGCTAAGGGTGTCGTGTACATTCACCCCCATTACATGTTGGTACTGTACTGCTAGAATACGTAACCCATACCACACTTGTTTTATACCTCTTTGAGAAGACTGAACTCAGCAAGAAAAGAACCTACTTGCCAGGGATAAGAACCTACCTACAACAGGTAACAACCTACCTACAACAGGTAACAACCTACCTACAACAGGTAACAACCTACCTACAACAGGTAACAACCTACCTGCCAGGGGAACTCATTTAACCTTGTGTAGCCGCCGCCAATAATTCTGAAGCCGGTGTCTGCTTCTTCTTCATACTGCCAACACTTGTCATTTACTTTGAGCTCAAATGCTGAAAAGAACATATACATAGTAGCAATGTGTAAAACTGCACCTTAGGTTAAACATTGTCTCAATAAAAGCTTATTTTGCATAGGTTAGGTAAGGTGAGTTAGGGAAAAGAACGAGGGTTTCCTGATGAGGGTCTTAGTCACTAGAACTTTTGGTCATCTGACCGAAGCCTTCCGCTGGCTTATCAATCTTATTCCGCATATTGTAAGTTAGGTTTGTCAGGAAACAGGACAAGTGTTTCCTGACGCGGGTCTTAGTTATATGACGACCACATTATTAATATTATTATTATTATTATTATTAAAAAGAAGCGCTAAACCTACCAGGGTCATACAGCACTGCAGGGTAGGAATTGATGCAGGATCTTAAGATAAATAAGGGTGAAGATAACAAAAGTAAAGTTAGTAGGAGGTGTGGGGAGTGCTAAAGGAAGGATTATCAAAGTCTGTGTAATAAATCAGCTGCTGTCAAAAAATCGAAGAGGGAGTCTGTGTCAAAGGTGGATCCGTCATCAAGGTGTACCCGTATGTATGGAATACTGGAAACCTAACTGGCATTATTGCAATTACATCTACACAGCTAAATGCTGTGGCTGACTCGGTTCCCAGTACTCCTTACCAATGGGTAAAAAGAACACAATATGCAGAATAATGTTTTATTGCTTTACCTTCAGTGTAACGTTCAAATTTCTCATGTCTACTTTTATACTTGAGTTTACCTCTATTAGGCTTGCATTTAGAGAACGGATGTCATACCTTGCTTGAAGGCTGATATTGGAGGGGTAACTTCGTAATTCTCCAGGTATATTCCCTCCTCTTCCTCTTCTTCCTCGTCACTTTCAAGCTCATCTCCTTCCTCTTCCACAGATTCTGGATGTGAAATCGCGCGTATCAACACCTGCAATATTACGCAGGTGTTTTAATCACACATGCAAACACCTGGTTTTGTAGTTACCTGGCTATATATCTCGGTGATAAGATGGTTCACTTGGTACGAATTTCCTTGAACTTTAATTAAATAAATATTCATTTTTTCCTTCGCACCATCTTTCTTTTTATCCCTCGCTCTCTCATTTCTCTCTCTCTGTCTCTCCATCATTCTCTGCGTCTAACCAGTTCTCACCCCTTCAGTAGACGGTGTTGGCAGCTTTCCTGGCTTGAGTGTGGTGGGAACGGGTTCCTCATGATCTGGAGAAACCACCTCTCTCTCAACGGCTATGCTGCTGACAGTGGTCATATCTTCCATCATCTCCGTGGTGATGGTGGTGTCGTCAGTGGTGATGGTGGTGTCGTCAGTGGTGGGATCAGTGGTCGTGGGGTCAGGTTTCTCAGTGGTTGTGGTGGGGATGTACTTCTTAGCGTCAGGATTCATCACTCCAGCCACCGTTGGTGCTGTAAAAAGAGATCATAGAAGGGCTCCTAATCCGAGAAATTGCCTCAGTTCTTTGACACATGGCAAAGCTGTTATTCTACTTACAAACTAAGAACATTAGAGGCATGGAGCTTCAGTATGACTTTGTAAATGGTCCAAATCGAGTTATTTGTATATTGTACCAGTCACGGTATTGCGATTTTTTGTTATTCTCTGTTATTTAAACAGGAAGAACTTATTACACTGATACACAAGTCTTGTGACTGTAGTGTACTCATCTACTTGTGGTTGCAGGGGTCGAGTCATAGCTCCTGGCCCTGTGTGTGTGTATACACTTACAGTGGAAGGGGACAATGTCCTGACAGGCCAGTTGAGTGATGCTGATGGAGAACAAATAAGCTGGTATACCCTGCAGTACCATGGCCAGCGTCACCACACTCTTCTCCTTTACAGCAAACGTTGCTGGAATAACACACTCGCTGTAATAACGCACTCAATAAAATCCAACTTGCTGTAATAACATACTAAATGACACTGCAATATCCTAACATGACACGCTCGTTATAATAATATCTACACCAGGATGACACCAGCCATATGAGGGCATTAGTTAAAATTCCAATAATAATAATAATAATAATAATAATAATAATAATAATAATAATAATAATAATATTAATACAGCTAGTTTGTATGGTAGGACTGTCTTGATTTAAGGGAGAAATTTCAAACGGATTTTTTCCACTAGGCACCATGTCAAAATATTTCAGGAGACGCAGTAATTCGACTTTTATTCCAATACAATCTTAATATTTAGAGGTTGTTACCAGAGGGTAAAGTTTTATTGGCTACTTTTCGCTTACACAATGGTTTCTTTCCAGTTACTGAGAAAACTGAAGTGGGAGAGCGTAGTGCGTAGAAGTGAGGGGAAGTGAGGTGCAAGTCAGGTCACACTCATTGCCAAGAAATGAGGGGAAGTGAGGTGCAAGTCAGGTCACACTCATTGCCAAGAAGTGAGGGGAAGTGAGGTGCAAGTCAGGTCACACTCATTGCCAAGAAGGATGATGGTTTAAATATGTCGCCTTCAAGTTGCAATCCTCTGTGTCTGGATCCAACAATGTCAGCCAGACCAGCGGTTTCTATAATTTAGTTGAACCGCTTGCTAGAAAACTTCCGGGATGTTTGGGAACCAATGTAACCTGTGCCGCACACCTCATTTGGTCTTCACCTCGCTCCTACTCACTACTGTATCACCACTCATACCAGGTATATATCTGTTTGCGATTTGATAAAACCCACCGCATGGTCAAAACGTTTTCAATAAGGGTTCCACATACCTCTATATATATGTCACAATTATCGGGACAGTTTCTCATACCGTTATCAAAATCGCAAGCAGAAATTGATTTTTCTCTGCATGAGTATTCTTGCATTTTTTTTAGTCTATTGTCACTATGAAAAATAAATGCATACACCACCCGGGTATAAAACAAGCAATACAAACAAAGCAAGTGCTATTCGCAATCATGTACCTTAAATGTTATGAAAGGATACCAGGTCCTCATAGGTGATAAAACTTGTAATGGTGTCTTGATTGACAATGGTTATTATAATTATAACCTTAGTTTTTAAAGGGGTGGACCGGTAAACCAGCGGAAGGCCTCAGTCAGATGACCCAAAGCTCCAGCTGCGGGTTATCATATTTATTTATTTATTTATTTATTTATTTATTAATTTGAACAAAGTCTAGCGTCAGGAAACACTAGTCATGTTTCCTGACAAACCTTACCTAATCTAACTTAACGGTGTCTGGAGGAGGCATTAATTTAACACCCAAGACAACCTCGAGAGGAACCAGGGTGTCTATAGCTTAGTTACCCCTATGATTCACAATACTATAGACCCAGAAACTTAACTAACGAACGTTTTCACAAAATTAGTTGATGTATATGCTTAACCAGTCAGTATACCTCCTGGATATCTCCGCTACTTAAATCACCCACCTTCATTCCAACTCACACTTCTCTAGTGAAATCACATTTGCAGGAAACTAACAGGCTCACACAGTGTCTTCTAACTGTACATATAGATGTGTTCATATGTTCTTTGTACTTATTTCTAGTGCTACAGTTAAAGTGTGCGCTGATCCCGTCTTTTCTGCATTCCCCCACGTTCAGTAAAAAGCCACTGACACTAGTAAACTTTCTAATCTGCAGGGATTTCTGAAGTTCTTGTATATCTGAATTGCAGTCATAATGATCCACGTACAGCTGACAAACCAACTAACGCTGATACACACACCACAAAGTACACTTACTGGACCAATAGGCCAATTTCCACACATACACAGGTCCCTCAAGTGGGAAGCTCTGATGCTGGTAAATGGTTTTTAATCCGAAGAATCGAAACTGCACTATACTTTCTCTAATCAAGCCTGATTACGTGCCATTCCCAAGGCACTTCACGACCTCTATGGGTGTCACCCACCCAGGGACACCCAGCCAAAACAAAGGACACTTACTTGCCCAGTTGGTCATATTGCCACACACAGGTGTTGTGGTCTCGTTCAAACTGGTGCCCAGAACAGTGAACGTGTCTCTGATACACACACTGTCGTCATATTTCGCCAGCTCAAACTTATTGAAGTCTAGCCTGCAAGGAGAGAGTTAATAGTTACTGTGCTATTGTCAAGGAAGGTCGGGACCTGAGTTTGGAGTCAGTCGAGATTATACTTGTCGCAACAACAGCGTCATAACCTCATAGCATAAATTATACTTGACAGAAAAGGATGGAGGGGGTAAAAGAGGTTTTGTGGCTTGGCCACACAGCAGGCATATGTGAGTGTGATAGGAGTGAGTGGAGACAAATGGTTTTTGGGACTTGACGAGCTGTTGGAGTGTGAGCAGGAAAACATTTTGTGACGGGATTCAGGAAAACCGGTTAGCCGGAGTTCAGTCCTGGAGGTGTGAAGTACAATGCTGCACTTTAAAGGAGGGGTATGCATATTTGCTGTTTAGAGTGGCATCTAAGCTGTCGCTCTACGCTCCTTTGTAAAAACAGTGATAGTGTGAACGATGGTGAAAGTGTTTTCTTTTTTGGGGGTCACCCTGCCTCGGTGGGAGACGGCCACCGTACCGTGGTTTGTTTGCAATCGTGTCATTACGATTTCGTGAGTCACTACACTTAGCAGACTCATAGCAATTATGCATAATATTTGAATAATCATATTTGTATTCCTATAATATGTAGATAAATATAAAAATGAATTATTTAATGGTGCGTATGTACCTCTTTCAGTACCCACCTGACGGCGCACACCTTCTTTCTGATCTCAATTTCGAAGTTGCAGCTCCTGGCTAATGTGTCATTCTTGGGGTAGGATGGATTCCTGAAGTAAGCGTGGTGGGCACTCGTTCTGCCCCCACAAGTCTTGTCCACTATATGACGGAGGGAAGGAAAGGAGCAAGGAATTAAAACTTCGGCAAAGCGATGTGGATATCGTCAAGCTCTCCATAATGCGTTAAGTACTTATCATAACTTTAAAGGTTTCTTTCCTACAGAACTTAAGCTACTATTACCTGACAATTATCATATTTGAAAATGGACTATGATGAGTTGTTGAAGGGTGTAACTCCAATTGGAATGTGGAAATAAGGCACTAGTGTTTTGAAGTCTTGGGGCAGGTTCCTGTCTAGGCGTGTCTTGACGAGTCTCTCCTTTGAGCGAATCATTGTACATACAGAAGCTTGTTTTGCCTACCTGTGTCTTGTACCACATGGCATGTGGCCTGTAACTCATAAACACACAAGGGGAAAGAAATTAATGAGATGTCACTGTCAGAGAGAGAATCATTTGTTAAAGCTTTGAAGAATTGTGAGGACAGTTGGAGGCGAGTTTCTTGAAGTAGGTTTAGGTAAGATAAACTGAATGAAACTGTTTCTGATAATAGCAAGAAGGGGAAATATTTAAGAGATTAAAATGAAAGGTGTTAAAGACTTTTAATTAGATCCAAAAAATAATATTCTTTTGAGTGTTGTAAAATTTAATTATAACTTGTTATTTCAGGTTTCTAAAGTTGTAAAGAATGGTCTTAAAATGCTTGACATTTGTTATTAATCTTGTGTTAGTTGGCTGAAGACAGAGAGTAACAAGTTTCGTAACGTTAAATGCAGAGGAAGATTTCAGACTGAGGCAGTACTGAAGTATTTAGGAGATCTACAGAGCTTTAATTTTTTTTTTTAGCGATACCAAGGTGTTGTAGTGTAGATGATACCTTGAAGCAAGTGACATCTCTGTCTCTCTACACTCACCAAAACAGCAGTAGTCATCAGTATAGCCACAGTACCCGGCGAACAGTCCTCGCTGTCTGGAACACTCCACTTGGTTCATACAAGCTCCCACAGTGCCGTCCAGCTCACACAGCTGGTATCTGCCGCTCTCTCGGAATACGTACGTCGTCATCTGCATGAATATCTCTGCGAGAAGGTATGAGTACAGTCTCTGTCAGTTGCTTGTGGATGTTGGTGCTTTGATCATCAGGGGAAAATTATTCTGATGCGAGTAGCTTGTGTGAGATAAGATAAGATAAGATAAGATTTCGTTCGGATTTTTAACCCCGGAGGGTTAGCCACCCAGGATAACCCAAGAAAGTCAGTGCGTCATCGAGGACTGTCTAACTTATTTCCATTGGGGTCCTTAATCTTGTCCCCCAGGATGCGACCCACACCAGTCGACTAACACCCAGGTACCTATTTGCTGCTAGGTGAACAGGACAATAGGTGTAAGGAAACGTGTCGGAATTTCCACCCGCCGTCACTAATTAATGTGTATATATGGCTTGCAGTTGATGGGCTTTAAACCTAACAAAATATAATCACCTGTTGTTACACTAAGGCCTCATGCATAATATATACAATAAAGAAGTATAAAAAATAAATAGAGGTAAATATACCTGGTTACCTGGTAATAGTATAACTAATAGCCATTTATATGTACTCACAGCTAACATATGTCAATACAATTACCCAACATACCTGGGTATATTGGGTAATACATCCATACAATTACCCAACATACCTGGGTATATTGGGTAATACATCCATACAATTACCCAACATACCTGGATCAGCCGGGCTGTGGCTCGTATGTTGGTTTGCGTGCAGCCAGCAGCAACAGCCTGGTTGATCAGGCTCTGATCCACCAGGAGGCCTGGTCTCAGACCGGGCCGCGGGGGCGTTGACCCCCGGAACTCTCTCCAGGTAACTCCAGGTATATTGGGTAATACATCCATACAATTACCCAACATACCTGGGTATATTGGGTAATACATCCATACAATTACCCAACATACCTGGGTATATTGGGTAATACATCCATACAATTACCCAACATACCTGGGTATATTGGGTAATACATCCATACAATTACCCAACATACCTGGGTATATTGGGTAATACATCCATACAATTACCCAACATACCTGGGTATATTGGGTAATACATCCATACAATTACCCAACATACCTGGGTATATTGGGTAATACATCCATACAATTACCCAACATACCTAGGTATGTCAAGGCTCTTGTTTCAAGGAATTGAAGATTCTCTTATTTCATTCAAACTCGTTTAACTCTCATACCATAGACGCTGTGCAACATGAGGTCTAAACCCTTCCCCATGAACAATAATTAATGATCATGTGAAGATATACTTACGTCTTCCCTCTCTGCTACCGTCAGTAGCAAAGGTATACCCCACCATTAAGGACCTAAAATAAGAATATATAATAGTTATACCTCAAAGGGATATATATATTTTTATTAACACAAATATACGTAATATTAAAAACAAATATTTTGCTATAAGTTCATAAAGAAGCCATCTTATAATACAGAATAATACTCACAGGAGACTCAGGAACGTCAAGTTACTAGACATCTTGAAGTAATGGAAGGAATTGCTTGACGAGATTTGTCTTAGCTCCTGATGCCAACGCTAACAGGAAGGTTGATCAAGTTCACTGCATGCTCCAAGTGTTCCCTTGACAATTCTCTCCTCACTGATAACTCTGCTGCTGTAAAAATACAACTCACTTTTAGATACTCTGGAAGAAATGGTAACTTGACATGCTGGAACAATGTTGAAAATAATAATAATAATAATAATAATAATAATAATAATAATAATAATAATAATAATAATAATTCCAACATTTGAGTAATGGAAAACATGAATTAAAAAAATTTGTAGTGAACTATAATAATAACAATGATAATAATAATAATAACAATAATAAAAATAATAATAATAATAATAATAATAATAATAATAATAAATATTACCACATTTAAGTATAACTTGTGCAGAGTGAACCACAGAAACTGTTCATATATTTATCTGTAAAAATGTTTTCTCTCAAAAGATAGGGGGGGGGGGGAGGGAAGGGTTCTTGATCCAAGGAATCTGATCTATCTTTTCTTCCACGGACCGAACCTGATTACCTCTCATTCCATCAGGTGCTGCACGACCCTTACGAGTTTAGCTCTTCCCCACGAAAGTAATAAAAATTTGAAGAATGACATATAACAATACGGAGAATGGCGCAGTTTTTTTCGGTCTAACTGGAGACCCTCTTCAAGCGAGTGAAGATCAATAGACATAATTTTACACGTTCCGAGAGATTTCTGCAAGTTATTTAAAGTCACGTAGGCCTAACTCAGATTATTTTGATATTTTATATAATATTCACACATCTTCCATACTGCAAAGATCCACTAAGATAATTTCATATACTGCAGGAGGTCAATATGAAAGATGTTTGTCCATTCGTCAAGACATACACCATTACTCACAAAACATGATCGGAATTCCAGATATATTACTCTCTGACGTGCTTCGCCTTAACCACTGTACAAGAACAACTACCAGTGTATATAAATGCGTACATGTATATATGTATAACTGGTCTTCTTAGGATATCCATGTAAATACATGATAACGCTATGATATTAGTACATATTTTCACTGTTTTTTTTTCTATTCATGCTTCTATATGAGTGCAGTTTGTATGTAGTGTATAAGGGGTCTGGGTGCAAATGTTCGTTTTTCACTGTTGTCGACAGTTTAATATCGGGATGGAACTGCTTGACGAGACTTGTCTTAGCTCCTGATGCCAACGTTAACAGGAAGGTTGATCAAGTTCACTGTATGCTCCAATTCTCTCCTCATTGATAACTCTGGCAGGACCAGTTAATGTAGAATGATAAGAAGTGTTGAATTATCTATATTTGTTCATATATGAGAGGCAGGAACTAGTAGACAGAAACAGGGAAACAAATTTTAATATATAAAACGACCTCCACCTGAGGTCCTTATCAGCAGTATATAAAGAACACATGAAATAATGATTTCCACTGCCCGTTATATGCTGATAAGGACCTCAGCTGGAGGTCACAATTTACATTAAACTGTGGTTTCCTGTTTTTGTTTACATGTGGATTGCTGTCTTCCAACGAGAATTGTTTATTATACTTATTTTGAATATGCATACATATATGTTCAGCAATTTGCAAACGGCCGAAATGATTTACAAACATTGTCTCTGAGTCCACAGCAGGATTCGAACCTGCGCACTCTGCATCAAAGTACACAGTATATTTGCCACACAGCATAAGCCTGGCTGTGAACTGTGCCTAGGACAATATGGTAATTAACTAATACAAACTTACACATATCCTGAAACACACACACACAACTTACACATATCCTGAGACACACACACACACACACACACAACTTACACATATCCTGAGACACACACACACACACACACAACTTACACATATCCTGAGACACACACACACACAACTTACACATATCCTGAGACACACACACACACAACTTACACATATCCTGAGACACACACACACACACACACAACTTACACATATCATGAGACACACACATACACACACACACACACACACACACACACACAACTTACACATATCCTGACACACACACACACACACACAACTAACACATCCTGAGACACACACACACACACAACTAACACATATCCTGAGACACACACACACAACTTACACATATCATGAGACACACACACACACACACACAACTTACACATATCCTGAGACACACACACACACACAACTAACACATATCCTGAGACACACACACACACACAACTTACACATATCCTGAGACACAATTATGCTGGCGAGAGAGCGCAGGTAACCAATTCATGTATTTTCAGACAAGTTTGGAAGGGTGTTGACCTCCAAGATTAAGAAGGCCAGACATGGAGAGCCTAGTAGTAGCAGTAACAGTAGTATATACAGCGAGTGACAGCACTCTCTTAAATTCCTACATCAAATGCAGGAGTTATAGAAATGCTGTAGCATTCTCTGTGCTGGATAAACCATTTTATTAGCAAACATATATATATATATATATATATATATATATATATATATATATATATATATATATATATATATATATATATATATATATAATAACAATTCACCTGGCAGAGGTTAAAGAGATTGTTAACCTTGAAGTTGTTCAACATATGTATTTACCTACTGTCCTTTGTTGTGTCTTTTTTACCCTCACCTCACATACTTGTATTTACTCACACTCTGACTGACAAGGAACCTTCTTGGTCTCGCCTAATGTTCTTTTTGGAGCGGAAAACTTCGGTCAGATGACCAAAAGCTTTAGCTGAGGGTTATTATATAACTAAGACCTGTGTCAGGAAACACTTGCCCCTGACAAGCCTAATACCTACCTACTAGGCTTTGTTTCTGACGTCCATTTTTCCACATACTTAATAATGCCATTCAACCTGAACTTAGTGAAATATAAGGTATTCTAAGTTGTGCCCGCCACAGAGACTTTAGCAGTATTAGATTTTCTAGGATGAATGGGCTTACTAGCCACAAAAACACAACCATCACAAGATCAAAAGAACCGCAAAAACACAACTTAAGTCGCTGCTGTTTACAAGCAAGATTTATGTTACTAAATCATTCTAACTCAATTTTAATGAAGCTTTTATTTTGTCTTGTACTGACAAGCATGTTAATGCAGTACACAATGTTCTGCATGTTTATCACGTAGCTAATTAAAACACACACACACACATCACGACCAGTAAAGAGGCGGGCGGGCTCAGGAGCTATGAATCAACTCCTGCAACCACAATTAGGTGAGTACACACACACACACACACCACGCCCAGTCAAGAGGCGGAGCCAGGAGCTATGACTCGACCCCTGCAACCACAATTAGGTGAGTACACACACAGTCTGGAGAGTGATGTAGTGGAGGCAGAATCCATACATAGCCTTAAGAGATACGATAAAAAATGGGGCCAGGAGCTGTGACTCGAGTCCTACAACCACAAATAGGAGAGTACACACACACACACATTAAATAATTCAATAAACTATCTTAATCTACTTCCAAAGAGTGATCATGTTATATTGGAAATATTATATGACCCTTGTAGGTTTAGCGCTTGGCTATGATTGTAATTGTTTATTGAAAATAAAATACAGTTAAATGTAACTTAGAAGAGAAAAACACGAAGAGAAACGACCGGATTATAAGGAAAACTTATTGATTGAAAAAAGACAAATAATTTGAATGAAATGTGCACGTAAGACAATGTTGTGCACGTAAGACAATGTTGTGCACGTAAGACAATGTTGTGCACGTAAGACAATGTTGTGCACGTAAGACAATGTTGTGCACGTAAGACAATGTTGTGCACGTAAGACAATGTTGTGCACGTAAGACAATGTTGTGCACGTAAGAAAATGGAGTCAAACAGTTTATTATTAAAAGGAATATGAGATGAAATGTTAGTGTTTTTTTGTGGACGGTCCTGAAGTTATGAAAAGCCTACACTGACCTGGGATACTATATAGGAAGTGAGCAAGTAAAAACAAAAGCACATCTGCCATTCAAAGAGGCCTGTAATGAATGCACAAAAAGACACCACTCCCCTGAGCCCTCCTGGGGCGGGGAAGGTGCCAGAGCTAGAGCTTGCTACCACCAGCACCTCACAAGACTGCCATTCCCACGAGCCTTCCTGGGGCGGGGAAGGTGCCAGAGCTAGAGCTTGCTACCACCTGCAGCTCACAAGACTGCCACTCCCCAGGAGCCTCCCTGGGGTGGGGATGATGGCAGACCAGAGGTCTAACTTCTCCCTACGAGCCTCGTGAGGTCGGGGAATGGAGCTAGGCCTGGGGACAGTTGGTCCCAGAAGATGAGGAGGTACTTGTACCTCCTCCCATGGCAGACATAGGTCTGAGACACTCCCAAGACAAGGTGTCAAGGCCGGGTCACCATCTGGAAAAGACCAGGACCGGGAGAGTACCGGTGAATCAAGAAGAATGCACAAACGTAGGGAGAGAGGAAAAAAGAAACTTAAATAAAGGAAATGGAGGACAAAGAGACAGAACCAAATCTTTTTTTAAGACTGTAAGAAAAAGATAGAATAAAAAATAGGATCGTACTTGTAGCTTCACAAACCTTGTCGAACCATTTCCAATCCAACACAGATTCTATATTTCCAGGCCCAAGTCTCGGTCAGTTCTCTCACTTAAGTGTTCTTCCTGTGTCCCTTTCCTAATTCTTCTCTACCATAACACTCATTCTGAGATCCACAAGCAATAGGTTAGGTTAGGTAATGTTTGTCAGGAAACAGGACAAGCGTTTCCTGACGCGGATGTTAGTCATATGATGACCCACAGCTGGAACTTTCGGTCATCTGACCGAGGCCTTCCACTGGCTTAATGTTCCACCATTTTATAAATTATGGTTACGATCATAACCATTAGATATTTGAACTTAATATTATTATTCCACAAACATTTTTTTCCTCTTCAATACAAAGAAAAAATAATGTTATCTATCAAATTTATTAAGACAGTTTCTTATGTTCGAATCTAAAAAAAAAAAAAATTTAAATTGAATCTGCTATTATTCATTGTGCATTATTAACGAATGCTGTACTTATTGTATGAGGATGAATAGTAACACAAAAGATTAAAAAACTGTTCGTGGGGTGCGAAGTAACTAGCCCTGAAAGATGAACCATGAACCACAGGTAAGATATAAGCCAAGTATGTCCCAATTAGTTGCTCCACCTTGCCACATCCCTCCATCTCTAACCTCCAGCCTTCTGCATCCCCTTTATTTCTCTTTCCCTCTTTTTCTCTACTATCCTTTTATCTTTTAACCTTGTCTGCCACTCCTTCATTTATGTGTTCCTTCACCTCACCAAGACAACTGTGATGAAGTGTCCTGGACCTAGCAGGTGTCTAATTTATCTCACACCAGATACCAGCTATGCTCGACATGGAGTGGACTGCCTCAAGCGACAAGTACTTTCCGCGAGGCACGAGGCATGCTGTTCTTGTGGTACCTCAGTTTTTGCACAGTTCGGTTTACAGGACAAGAGATGTTATCCTACCTCAGCTCATTTCATAGTGCAGTCCTGGCTAAGGTATAATACCACACCTTCCAACTCACAGGATGTCATTCACAACAGTCCGCTAACACCTAGGTACCTATACCTAACACCTAGGTACCTATTCACCCCTAGGTGAGTAGGTACCTAGGTGTTAGCGGACTGCCCCTATTCACCCCTAGATGAATAGGGGCAACAGATTCATGGGAATTCGAGTACTGTCTTATATAACACTTGAAGAAGGTATCACACTAGGTTCGATATGCTTCACCTTGAAGATGACACTACAAGGACAGTCAACACATCACCGTTATGTTTCTTACAGCTCTCATTAAGACAGGAGAAAATCTACTGCAGACACTATTATACGAAAAAATGTGTGAATTCATCTATGAGCCCGTGAGCTTAATTAAACATGAGTTCCAATGAGAAGTATCACAAATGAGTAGCAAATGAGGAATTGAAACATGCTGGGGTAGGTGTTTAGGGCGACAACACCCTTCCGCCAGCACTTTACACACAAAGCAGGAAAGACTGCTTTAAAATAAATTGCATAACAACTATTTTTTTTCTTGTCCGTTAAAAAGTGATAAAAATCAAAGGTATGCGAGTTTAGATGAGAATGGCTTGGCAACCTGACCCTGGCGAGCGATAACATCAGCTGCCATAACGTCTCAGTGTGCAGCCATTGTACTCCAGCCTGAGCTTCCCTGCACAGCTTAACACATCTTAAGCTTTCTGTTCCCATCAGTGGGTGGTATCATGATGCTGATGAACAATTCTTGATCTAAGGAATTGACGCTATCCTCCCTTCCCAAGAACCAAATTTGATTACTCCCCATTCCCCAGGCACTGAATACCCTTCCGGGATTAGCGCTTCCCCAGTGAATATAATTATACTAGGCTGTCTGTTATGGTTTAAGAATCTTTGCTCCTACGATCTTATACAGGGATCTTTAATACTCCAGTATTCTTATTCGCTCTTAACGTATTCATCTGGTGCATCTGCCACGTGCTTGGTACATACAATGTGGCTATTTTAGTCTAGTGTCAAGTGTTTTATTCTATGTTGAAGTTTTTTTTTTGTCTAGAAATAGCTTATTACATGTTTAAGTTGGTTTGTCTAGCAATAAGTTATTTCCTGTTGAAGTTGGTTGGCAGAAGCATAATTTAACTATTAAAACAATTTGTACAGAAATTCATGGTTAATGGGATTTTTATAAAGCCTATTAATTATAACAGGGTTATTAAGGATACACAACATTTCTACCACCAGTGAAGAATACTTTAATCCCTAAAATGGTGATTAGAGTAAACTCCCAGCATTTGTAAGCTGAGGGACAGACAGACACATCTCGTGTTTATGTCCTGTGTGATTAAGTTCATGTTTGTATTGAGTGTTGAAGTACAGGGTGGTACAAATTACTGCGAAATTACAGAATACCTGTGTATTATTCACAATATATTTTTCGGTGGGTTGTTCTCTGACCTGTTTTTTGCACAATGGAGGGTGATTATCATAAAACCAGTAAAATGTTGAACGGTTTCACAGCCTTAGTTTCAACCTTTAACTGTCCAACAAAATCAACTGTCTCATTTTTGCTAGGCTTCCAGGTTATCGCGGGTTCAAACCCCACCCGTGGTATGGTTTATCAGGGTAGGTTATTCCATCCTGCTGGTGAATGGCTTTTAATCCAAGTAAGTGGTGCAAACCTCCTCTTCCTTCGAGCGAACTTAATCACTCCCCATTCCCCAGACAATAATGACCTCTATGGGTTTAGCGCTTCTCAATAGACTACTACTACTACTAATAATAATAATAAATTATCCACTGAATGTGTTATTGAGGCAGTTTTTGACCTATGCAATAAAGCACCAAAACCAAATGGACTTCACGTCCTTATATATTATATATATATATATATATATATATATATATATATATATAATATATATATATATATATATATATATATATATATATATATATATATATATATATATATAATATATATATATATATATATATATATATATATATATATATATATATATATATATATATATATATATATATATATATATATATATATATATGTTGAAATGTTAATTATCTGCTAGATAAAAAAATAGTTTATTTGCCGTCACTTATCAGTTAGTAGTAAAGCTGTCGTGAATTAATTCGTAATCCTACTAATCAAAGCAAAAGTTGCGCCATTGGTATGTATACCATCTGGTATGTATACCATCTGGGATGCATACCATCTGGGATGTATACCATCTGGTATGTATACCATTTGGTATGTATACCATCTGGGATGTATACCATCTGGGATGTATACCATCTGGTATGTATACCATCTGGTATGCATACCATCTGGTATGTATACCATCTGGGATGTATACCATCTGGTATGTATACCATCTGGGATGTATACCATCTGGTATGCATACCATCTGGTATGTATACCATCTGGTATGTATACCATCTGGTATGTATACCATCTGGTATGTATACCATCTGGTATGTATACCATCTGGTATGTATACCATCTGGTATGTATACCATCTGGTATGTATACCATCTGGTATGTATACCATCTGGTATGTATACCATCATAGCATAAGCAAGATGCGGAATATTATAAATTTTTCGTGGGTTAGTTTGAGATCATATCAAAGGATCTCTAGATGACATAACAGAAATATAATATAATGTACACCTAAACTACCATCATTCACATGCACTGGAAACACCTTCTTCACACTGATATCATAAACTGAATGTTGCAAAACTCAAAGATCTGAGGTCATAGATAAAATTCTGTTCCAATCACAGAGAAATTAACTTCCTCGGGTCGTGAGGGGCTCAAAGAATATATAAGATTAAGCACTGCAGACTAGACTTCAAGAGCATAGCTCTTCTGTAGCAACAGAGAGATAATCACTTAATACACCAATGCATTTACAATGCTCGTTACACACGGTGAGGCAGGTGTGTGAGGAAGGTATCTTGCAGGAGTACAGGAGCAACACGATCACCTGGGTGAGACAGCCGCACGCCACCACACACTGCTGCTAACTAACCTTCAAACCTGTCTCAGCAACTTCAACTCACTCCCTGGTAGGGCGATCCACTCACAACTAAAGCAACGAGGGCTCGATTGCCAGGTGGGATAAGAAGGTGTAAGTCTTCCAGTATCTGTCGTTCATTTTCACTCTTAGGGAAGTAGATTCATGGAGATTAGTTGGGTGCTCTTGGGAACCGTTGTGTGGTACCTAATTCAGTTAATATATTAAATTCCTATTTAATCTTTGGTTAATTCACTTAATGATCTAGCCTCTCTTCTGATGATGGGACTAAACCAATTACCACCACAGCTTTTACTACTCTATCTATCTCTGCATATATATATATATATATATATATATATATATATATATATATATATTGTGTGTGTGTGTGTGTGTGTGTGTGTGTGTGTGTGTGTGTGTGTGTGTGTGTGTGTGTGTGTGTGGTGTGTGTGTGTGTGTGTGTAGGGTATGGCATCTGAAAGGTGAAGAGAGGGGAAGTCCCGCATCCAGACGTTCCAAGAACATACACATACACACACACACACACACACACACACACACACACACACACACACACACACACACACACACACACACACACACACACATACACACACGCACAAACGCTCATAGACTATTCCATGAGCTGAGACTCGACCCCAGTAAACACTGTTCGATAACTATACACACATAGACAGAGGAGTGTACCTCCATTTCCTTGGATCAAGAGCTCTTCACCTGTATAAGGCACCTTCCTTGAGTGTAGGGAAGGTACTGTTAAAAACGCGCGTGTTTGAACAAGACGTGGGCAAGGAGATGTATTTGAACAAGATGTGGGGCAGAAGGCGAGCGTTTGAGCAAGGCGTGGGGCATGAGGCGTGTGTTTGAACAAGACGTGGAGCATGAGGCGTGTGTTTGAACAAGACGTGGGGCATGAGGCGTATGTTTGAGCAATGCGTGGGGCATGAGGCGTATGTTTGAGCAAGGCGTGGGGCATGAGGCGTATGTTTGAGCAAGGCGTGGGGCATGAGGCGTGTGTTTGAACAAGACGTGGGCCAGATGTATTTGAACAAGACGTGGGGCATGAGGCGTGTGTTTGAACAAGGCGTGGACCATGAGGCATGTGTTTGAGCAAGGCGTGGGGCATGAGGCGTATGTTTGAGCAAGGCGTGGGGCATGAGCGTATGTTTGAGCAAGGCGTGGGGCATGAGGCGTGTGTTTGAGCAAGGCGTGGGGCATGAGGCGTATGTTTGAGCAAGGCGTGGTGCATGAGGCGTGTGTTTGAACAAGACGTGGGGCATGAGGCGTGTGTTTGAACAGGACGTGGGGCATGAGGCGTGTGTTTGAGCAAGGCGTGGGGCATGAGGCGTATGTTTGAGCAAGGCGTGGGGCATGAGGCGTATGTTTGAACAAGACGTGGGGCATGAGGCGTATGTTTGAACAAGACGTGGGGCATGAGGCGTATGTTTGAACAAGACGTGGGGCATGAGGCGTATGTTTGAACAAGACGTGAGGTAAGGCTCCAGTATATACATATCATAAACCAGATATCATTGCAGGAGGCAGTACTCAAGGTCACTACACATCCTCGCCCACACCCTAACCTCATCCTCCTCTTTATGCTTCATGTTTCCTTGGTCGACACTAGTTACAAGCAGGCAGTTCTACACGAAGCTTTAGGAATGGGTACGAATAGGCCAACGAGGCTAGGAAGGGGTTGAGCCTGGTGACTCTCCATATCCCGAACCAGCTGAAAGAAAAGCGGTTGTTGACCAAATACAAAAAAGAAAACAAAATGGAAATCTCAAATAATTGATTAGCATATGGGATGTAAGATTGACACAAGTGTTTATCTTGTTAGTGTTGAATGTTAGCTGAGAAGGCTTCTCCTTCCACTAAATGTTAATATTAGCTGGGATGAGGTAGAGAATGACGAGATGTAGCCATGTAGGAAGATTGGGGAATCTTATGTAAGATGATGGAATGGGATTTTTGAGGGAAGAATGTTACAGCTCTTTGCTTGTAAATAAAGGTAGGAACCCTTAACCTAACCTTGTAGTAATAATAATCTATATTTCTACAACTACATGATACAACAAGCTGACATCAATGACATACTATAAAGCTCCTGGTTGCAGAGCATTTCGGGCAACTTGGGTTAATCTTGTCCCCCAAGACGCGACCCACACTAGTTGGCTAGCACACGGGTACCTACTTGCTGCTAGGAGGACAGGGACAGCAGATAAAAGGAGGCACACCTAATGTATCCACCCGTACCGGGGATCGAACCACGGACACTCAATGTGAGAGATGAGTGTGTTACCTAGCTACTGTACTTGCAGCTGAGTGCGCTACCAACTGAGCTACGGGCTACCTTTGTGTAAAAAAAAGGGGGGGGATGTGGGAGCTGCTAGGGAAGTATGTGAAGTCTTAAGAAAACAGGAAGAGCATCAGCTGGAGGAACAGAGAATCAGACAAGGAAAATAGCCTAGCTAACAACCATCACACCAAATTGTCCCCTGAAGCACAGACGAACATAAGAGTTTCAACAGTACTTGAGCAATGACCTGTTTAAGACGCTTCACCTTAGTGAACGACTCTTGGCTCACAATCGCAGGGACCAGAGTTCGATTCCCAGGCGGGGCAAAACGTGATTCATCAATAAAGCTTCCATATAACATTATTTATTTATCTTTAACAGCGTGTTAACTGAGTTGCTTAAATTGTCAACATTACTGTTATCTGGTAGCAGTAGTAATAGAAGGAGGAGGAGGAGAAGAAGAAGAAGAAGAAGAAGAAGAAGAAGAAGAAGAAGAAGAAGAAGAAGAAGAAGAAGAAGAAGAAGAAGAAGAAGACTTCTTTATGTTAGCCCCGGAGGGTTAACAGCCTAACAGCGGGGATCATTTCCATTGTTATTATTTTTTGTCCTTCCCCAGAATGCGACCCACAACAGGCGCCTAACTTCCAGGTACCTATTTAATGCTAGGCAACAGGAGCAGCAGGTGGGTAAGAAACCTGCCTTACAATCTCGCTTCACCCGGGATTCGACCTGTGTCCTCTCGATTGTGAGCTGAAAGTGCTACCACTAGACTGGACTAGTATACTGAGAAGAGACGACGACCCCTTACCAAGCCGGACTAATTCATGCGCTGGGCAGGAACTAAGCTCGTACCCTTGCCACGGACTTATCCATCCTACCTTTCCCTACCTTGCCCACTCATACCATGCCCTACCCCACAAGGGAACGTGTTAGTCATGGGTATTTCAATCTTATGATCTCATGACTGATATGTCGCCAAATATCCTGGTAATGGGTTTGTGTATTATTTACAGTGTTCGCCTGGACCAGCCTAGCAGGTTTAGAGCCAAAAAAAAAAAAAAATGCCAATTGGTAGGCTAGTACAAAGACTCCTATAACATATAATTTAACGTTTCGCTCTCAGTAGAGCGAAACGCTGTAGAGCCAGTACAAGCACTTTTTTCTCACTGTAATACAGAGATAGTTCTGTTATCCAGCGGTGGTAAATAAAATAGTTATAGCAAAGACAGTTTGTTATTTAGCCTCTAAAGAATCTGTTGTAAAGTGAGTAACCTCATCCGTATACCTGCTGTCATACAGAGTATAATCATTCATATCATTCGTGTTAATGCCTTCATACTGACTTTAATCATTCACATCATCGTCCGTATCCCTGCTCTCACGCAAACATCCGTGTTTTTCCTCTCATATCAATGTTCGTCATTCAGACCTCTGACCCCCTCGTGTTCTGTATAAATAAGATAATTATGACGTGCCTAGTAGTGACGATAGTACTGGATGGTGGTGGTGGATGGTACTGGTGGTAGTGGGTGGTATTGGCGATTGATAGTAGTGGTGGTGGTGAATGGTGGTTCAGCGCTGGTCACAGATACAAGACCACACTGTGAACTCCACTAACATCCACGTTCTTCTCTCCTGTCTAAAGTTAGCAGTATTTCTGAACCTAAATCTTCTTAGGTTCTAACACAAAAAGCCTGGAGTAAGGGAAGGTAACTTCAGCCTCTCGTACAGTAACAACTTCAACGTGTCTCAGAGGAAGACATTTCTTGCCCCTTTCTCATGTTTTCTTGTGTCAGTGGTGGAAATGAAGAAGATACTTGCATCCAGAGACAACTAGGAAAACAAGAGACATAATGCGAATAAAAATGCATCATGTAAGGTCATCAACCTTGCATGATGATGACCTTGTATGTCCTGGCTGGAGACTTTGCCGCATACACCTCCCACAACTGGTTTCCCGATACCCATCATCCACTCTCTCAACGATACCCATGAGCACATTCCCCACGGAACGATATCTGAGGATACCATGGCTTGTTCTTTATTACAGTGGACATTAGGAATGTTGGCAGGAGCAGAGTGGAAAAACTGAGCAGGATAAATAAGGTTGTGTATGCGCAGGTGCCCTGTCCTCTGGTTGACCTCTGGCAACGTGGGTTGCCTGCCACTCACCAAGATGTTAGGTTAAGGCTTCATACCCGACTCACCCATTTACAATTGCTGGGGGTCGAGTCTCAGCTCCTGATTCCACCACTTAAGCTACCTTGATCTGAATTACTCGATTTTCACCTTTGAAGCCCTGTCATGGGTACTCTTGAAACTGTGTATTGAATTTTCCACCACCATGAGGCCTGGTCTCAGACCGGGCCGCGGGGGCGTTGACCCCCAAAACCCTCTCCAGGTAAACTTCGTCTTGTACTTCTTAATTCACGTTTCTACCACCCTCAGACTGAAGAAGTACTTCCTAACATACCCAAAATCCTCCCCTGTGTTCCCTTGTCAAATGATCAATATCTGCCTTCTTAAATACTGATGTTATGTACATTATAATGCGCTAAATCTGTACGGGTCATTCAGAGGTCAATTCCAGTGAAATTCTACCCGTCATAATCTTGTCTTGTCTAGTTCTTCATCAAGGTACTCAGGTTCACTTCCCTCAACCTTTCCTCATACTGTATTCTTCTCAATCTTGT